TCAAAGTACTTAAGGTAGCTTGGCAGCTCTGCTTCCTGGAGAGCAGGCAGTATAGACTGCGAATAGCTTGGCGTAGTGTTTCCTTCATGGAGAGCAGGCAGTGTGAACTATGGATAGCTTGGCGTAGTGTTTCCTTCATGGAGAGCAGGCAGTGTGGACTGTGGTTAGTTTGGCTTAGTGTTTCTTCATGGAGAGCAGGTGATGCTCTTCTGCTCAGGAATGAGATAAAGCTCTTTCATGTCAGACACCAGAACCTTTGGTGATTCTGGGGCTGGCCTTTGTCTGAATAGTGGAGTCACCCACTAGACAGTGGTTGAAAGACCCTGGGTATCCTTCAGCAGTCTCTGGCCACCCTTCTAGTACCTTGAAGCCCTCTTCTGCTGGGTACCTGACTGTAAGACTTGGGAGTTTAGCTTTGAGGTGGTTCCTGACTGCTCAAATAAGTAAGCCTCAAACTTTCAATCACTCATTGATTCACATTGACTTAGAGAATAGAAGCTTCTAGAGGGTGGAGCCTGTAGTCAACCTATGATGACATCATCATTGAATACATCGTGATAGTGGAAGGTTCATGGACATCTCAGCTGTAAATCACCTACTGAGAACTACCAAATGGATTTACAAGGCTGCAGATGCAACCAGCAGCCCTGTGCCCTCATCCTGCCTGGGGCAGATCCTGCATGTAGGAGATGTTCTTTCCTCCTGAGCCTGGGAGACCAACACCTCTTCTAAATCCAGAGCTCTGGGAAGAGCTAAGGCTTAGCAGCCAGCAGATGGACTGGGACTGTTCATTGATTCAGTTTCTTCTGCTAGTTCCCCGAGGAGTCTGAAATACAGATTGAGATCTGAGGCCTAGGAGAGGGTGTAATTAGTGAACCCTGGGTATGGCGGGCTGTTGATAGACTCCATGTACCAAGCCTGTTGAACACATTAGCTTGCGTATGCATTTTAAAATAATCACACCCACTTTATTGTAGCCTGGGAGGTCAACGGTGATAAACTGATATGAAATGTAGTTGTTCTAGTCAAAAGACCACAGAGAAATGCACTTTTTAAAAGTGAGTGGTGGCAATTCATGTTGGGAAGGGCTTCATGTCACAGGACATTTTGGGGTATCTCTGTTTGTGTGCTTTTGGTAGCTATGAGTAAGTGGTGAGTGAATTACCCCCACAAGTAAATGTTATTTTTAAAAAAACCCTAACATTAACAGCATCCAGCTTACATGTACATGTGTCTGCATGTACACAGTGTCTAACTGAATCTTCAAAATCATGGAGTATTAGCATCCTTGTACTACTGAATAAAAAAGCAAGCCCATGATGTTTCAGTAACACGTTGAGCAAAAAAAAAACAAACCACATATTGTGAACCAAACATCAATCACGAGTCTAATCAACCTGGGTATTGTTTTCTGACCCAAAACTAGTTCTCCATTTGGGGAGCTCTTAGCATCATTTTTTATGACATGGCTATTCATAAAGCCTTCATCTTTCTTGGCAATTTAAAAATTCACCTTGAAGAAATATATCAGAAAGGTGCCAGGAAGAATTACAAAGGCTACTGGGTTAATCAGAGTAGTCTTTTAACCTAGCCTGCCTCCCTGTTGATGGTCCATGCAGCCTTGGCAGAATGGGAAGACAGTGGAGGGATGATTACAGCAAGTAGCACTTCAGCTTGGTGAGGAGCAAGGAGGCCAGCATCCATAGCTGAACCTTGGACGATACCTTTTTTTAATGAGAGCATTGCTAGGCACCCGGCCCCTAAACAGACAAATATCACACAAGCAACTCCCCGCCCTTTTGCCACAAATCAGGGCTCATCCCCTTGGAACCCATAGAGGTGTGACAAAGCAGAGTGGCAGCCGAGGTTAGAAGACAGGGCCACTCTAGAGTCTGTGTCTACTGAGGTCCTAAAGAAAGAAAAGCCATCCCAACAGGGAGCCGACGAGGGCTACCCTCACCCAGAGTGGGTAGAATCTGGGGACATCGTGAAAGAACCTGAGAGTCATGAGGTCCTAAGAAAGAAAAGCCATCCCAACAGGGAGCCGACGAGGGCTACCCTCACCCAGAGTGGGTAGAATCTGGGGACATCGTGAAAGAACCTGAGAGTCACTGGAATGTGCCATGTTGTAGGCACAGTAATTGTTAGATGATTCTAGATAAATCAGACCCCATAGAGGGCTCTGTTTTAAGTTGCTGGGTTTTATTGCATAGAGTCCACTTCTTATTAAAATGCATTTTTTAAAAAAATGAATAACCATCTAAAATAGCATTTCAGGTCTTTTGTGTCTGGCTCAGACTAGGCAAAAGTCAGGTACCCTTTGGCAATAGGAAAGAAACACAGCTACAGAGTGAGTTGTTATGTAAAGGAACAGCAGCCCAGACACCACGTGCATGAGTTGGCAGGACTCGGCTGGATACACTCCATCCAAGATACGGCTTAGTCTCTCGAGGTCTTTGGACATCCAGAAAGTGGGTCATCTTTCAGAATATCTGCGTCACTAGAAACGATGTTAGTAAATCAAAGACCAGCTGGGTTCACTCTGCACTGTAACAAAATACTTACCTGCCTGTCAGTACTATTAATCCCTTCATTCACTGCGCAGGGAAGAACCGTGTTGTGGTTCCAATTACTTCCCCTTGTTACTAAGAGTTCATGGTCCCCTGGCAGGTGATCATATGGCTACATGGTAAACTTGGGCTTCTGAAAAGCAGAGTTGAGTCACTGCTTTGTCCCAAATCTTAGAACTTTACACTGAAACAAGTATTGTTTACAGTGAGTTGGAATGGGAGTGAATTAGAATATGGCAGCAGTTATTTTAACAATAAAATGATGTTGCTTAAAATATTCAGTGGCCTAAGCAAGAGATTGTTCTGGGTTGGAGTCTTTGTGACAGAAAGCCAACTTAAATGCTCTTGGACAATAAAGACACTCACTGGCTCATGTGTCTGGAATTCTAGACCTAGCAGGGTTCAGAGGTACCCTAGGCAGGGTCTGAGCAACTCATTAAACCTACTTAACCCTGTCTCCACCCTGACCAGTCAGCTGCATTCTCAGCCTGGTTCCCTATGGATATGAGGTGTCTGCTAAAATATAGCTGAAGTATGTGGGTATGAGAGAGAGAGAGACAGAGACAGAGACAGAGAGAGAGAGACAGAGAGAGACAGAGACAGAGACAGAGAGAGAAAGAGAGAGAGAGAGAGAGAGAGAGAGAAGAGAGAGAGAGAGAGAGAGAGAGAGAGAGAGAGAGAGAGAGAGAGGTTGAGAATCCCTTTAGGTATCTCTGAATTAAGCAAAGTAAAGGATTTTTCCAGAATGTTTTGTCCATTGGCCCAAACTGGGCTGTGGGCTTATTTTCTCATTGGCTCATACTGGGACATATGCCCATTTCTAATTTGTTCAAGTTAAGACTCATGTTTCTCATTGGCCGAGGTTGAGTAACATGCCCATTTCTCATTGGCTCAATTGGGACAGATGCCAAGTCAGAGGATAGTATTACCATGTGATAATCAGATCTTGCCTATCACCAGAAGCAAAGGCAAAGACAGCTCCATTGAGAACATGAATTGATAGTGTGTGTGTGTGTGTGTGTGTGTGTGTGTGTGTGTACCTGTGTATAAAGGGGAAGGGTCTGTTAGGAGACCATCAGGTACACTGATATTTAATTTTAAATCTATCACTTTGAAATATTATTTCTTGTTACAAAAATAATGTTTTTAATTTTTATTCTTGTGTGTGTGTGTGTGTGTGTGTAAGTACATGTTTCTGAAGTCCACAAGTTAACCCTGGGTGTCATTCTTTAGGAGCCATTCACCCCAGTTTTTTGAGAGAGGGTCTTTAATTGACCAAGCTCAAGCAGAGTCACCAGCACATGGCTCCACATCGGCTTTTAGTGTGGGTTCGGGGGTTCATGTTCTCCCACTCACAGGATAAAGACCTACCTGGTTTTTAAAGGTGGATATTTACAGTAAAAAAGAAGCGCAAAAATAATCATCACGGTCCCACTCACTTGTGGAAACTATGAATGAGGTTATCAAACGACACTTTTAATGAAATAAAGTTATGCTATATACTACTTCATCGTATAGCAATTAAAATGTAGAGTTGGACATCAGTGTCCAGATTCATGTACTCACTCCTTCTGGGTCAGATGCTCAACTGTTTCTCTTCTGGTGGTAGTCAAAGTTGGTCTGTGCAAGTTCCTCCAGCATTAACCCTGCAAACTCCCAGGTCAGCAAATGACCTGTTCTGGTTTCATTTCTGATGCTCTGATAAAATGCCCCAATACACACCACTTATAGAGGAGCAGATCTGTCTGGTTCACAATTCCAGATTACGGTTCATCAGTACGGGAAAGCCAGGACAGGACCTCAAGCAGTTGGTCACGGAGTCAAAACAAAACAGACTCTGTGCATCCTTGCTTGGTCCTGGGCTTCCTTTCTGTTCTCTTACGTAGCTGGGGTCCAGCCCGTGAAATGGCACCACCAACCTTCGTAGTTAATCTTACCACCAACCTTCGTAGTTAATCTTCCCACCTTGATTAACCATCAACACAGTCCCCCACTGCTGTCTCTACGGGCCAACACGATCTGGAGATTTCCTCACTAAGACTCTCTTTTCAGGGGCTACTACGGTTATGTCAAGCCAGCAGTTAAACCCCATAACACCCTTACGTTTAGAAGGTTTTCTAGGGCACAAGTGTTGTTAGCTTGGGTGCTGAGGGGAAAGGTACCTAGAGATGTAAAGAGACTGTGTCCTGAAGCAATGCAGCATGGATCCTGGGTTTACCCTCAGATGTTTACCTGAGTTAACAGTATTTCTGTGGGTCTGACCTATTGAAAATGCTGGAAGACGAACTCTTCTCCTTCCAATTGTGAAAGGCCCAGAAAGAAGTTCAGGGACATCGTTTCAATTTCGTACAGTTTGCCACAAGTTTCTATTATGCAGGTGCAGGTGCATCTCGCTCTACAATGCTAATGAAATCTGTCTCTCTCGCCTAGATCACCGTTACAGATGAAGAAGTCAGTAACCCATCCTTTCTCGACCTTGTGAGGACTCCCCAAATGAGGAAATGCACACTGATTCTTATGTTTGCCTGGTGAGTTGACTCTGGCTTTCAAAGCCGGCTTCAAGGGCACAGTCTACGGTTTCCTTCTGCTCACAGGCCCCGTTCTCTCTGTCTTTGTCTCCCCGGTGTCTCTTGGTGTCTTGCAGGTTCACAAGTGCTGTGGTCTATCAGGGACTCGTCATGCGCCTGGGAATTGTCGGCGGCAACCTCTACATAGACTTCTTCATCTCGGGGCTTGTGGAGCTGCCTGGAGCTCTCTTGATCCTTCTGACCATTGAGCGTCTTGGACGGCGCCTTCCCTTTGCAGCGAGCAATATAGTGGCCGGGGTGGCATGCCTGGTCACTGCATTCTTACCCGAAGGTAGTCTTCCTTCACATTTAGCCGACGGTTCCCAAAGAACTTGACCAAAAAATGTAATGATTGCATATGACCGAGTGGGTGGGGGGAGTCACTTGTCTTTATAAACTGGGTCATTCCTTCAAAAGCCTGGCACCAGGCAAACCTGGGTGATGTCACCCTATTTTCATGAGTGGAAAGATTAAAGAGACCCTTACACAGATAGCTCTCTGTCCTGGGATGTTAGGTTTGTTAACTGATGAAAAGGGAGTTATGCTGGATCTAGGTCATGGTGGTGAGGCGATGTGGCTGATATTGTTTAACATATTTCCCACATCTACCGTACTGTAGATGCCAAGCTGCACCCCAGGTTAGGGACAGAAGGAAGATGTGGTAAATTAATAGAATTGACAAAGGTGTGGGGAAAGGAGGGGAGGGAGAGGAGGGGCGGAGGGAGAAGTAGTGTGCGAGCCCAAGGGAGGAGTTAGAGCCGTTTCTTGCTGTTACAGCCGTTTCTTCCTGTTATTTCCCAAAACCATGAAAAGTTTTGTGAGCTCAGGAACTTAGTCTTGTTTGTTATTGCTGGAAACTGTATGGGGAAGCCAGAGGACAGTCAGGCCCCAACACGACTGTCCCCAAAGGACATGGCAGGGGCTTGCTTGGTGCTGCCTCTGAGCTCCTGGAGACCGGACTGTGAGCCGCTCGCACCTGTAGCGGTTTGGGATATGGTGTGAGGGAGAGATGCCAGAGCCTTGCTTGCAGCTGGGGAACTCTGGCTGGGGTGGAGGAGGCCGGCTCCTTTCAGAGATCAATATTCTGTGGCTTGAGAGCTGGTGGGTGGGTGGGGGTCAGGAGGAGGAAGACAGGATTGCAAAAGACTCCAGATGCTCAGTCAATAGCCCAGGTTGTCTCTGCCAAAGAACACAGCTGGAGCTACAGAGAGGAAGTCACTGGGACGCCCCCAGCAAGGTGTGAGTTGGATCAAGGGAGGCATTTCTTTTTGTATTCTGGGTGTGCAATGAAAGCCTTGCAGGGAGCCAGGTTCTCCGCAGTCCCTGTGTCTACAGAGGAAGCGGTCTGTCTTTGAGAATACCCAGGGTCAGGAAAGACACTGCTAATGTTGACAAGCTCAGTGCAGACACCCACAGGAGACTTCATTAGCATTGGACACCGGTTTACGAATTCCCAAAGTAGCGGTTAGACCTTACTTGGGAAAAAAACTACAGAAATGCCAGTCCTCAGAACAGAAAAGGTAAATAATGGGCAACTCCATCCTGCTGCCATGGCTGACGAAAAGCAGAAACTCGGGTCTCTCTCCTTTTATCCAAGTGCATCTGACTCCCCCAGGGCTGCAGTAATGAATCTCCACCAGTCTGGTGGCTGGACAGCAGACTCCCCGCCAGCCCGCCCTGCCAGGCTGACCTCTAAAAGTACACTGCAGGGGTTCCTCCTGTCCTCTCAGAGTGGCCGAGCTAGCAGCATCTCCAGTGTCTCTCTGGTCACCCTCACCATTTCTTGGTGTGTCTTTGCCTCTGTCTTCATGTGACACTCTTCCTCTTGGTCTCTATTCCCAAATATGATCACATTCCAAGCTTCCGAGTAAATATGAACTCAAAGGAACACAAATAGGCCACTACATAGTTAGCATATCTTAAGAGCTACGGAAGCTGGGGCTGGAGAGATAGCTCAGTGATTTAGAGTACCAGAATCGACTGCTCTTCCAAAGGATGCAGGCTCAGTTCCCAGCATCCACATTGGGCAGCTCCCAACCACCTGTAACTCCAGCCCCAAGGTATCTGATGCCCTCTTCCAGCCTCCACAGACAGACAGACGCATGGGCTTCGAAATTCTGTCCCTCCCTTCCTCCCTCTCTCCCTACCTCCCTCTCTTCCTCCCTCCCTCCTTCTCTCCCTTCCTTCCCTTCCTCCCTCTCCTTCTCTGTCACTCTGTGTGTGTGTGTGTGTGCAGGTGCTCGTGTTGGTGTGGGTGTTCACAGTCATGTGTAGACCAGAGGTCAGCATGGGAGTCCTTGCTCAGCACCATCTGCTTTGTTTCTTGGGACCTGTTCCCTCTCTGACCCACCGTTTGCTAAGTTGGTAAGGCTGCTTGGCCAGTGAGCCCCAGTGAGCTCCAGTGAGCCCCAGTGAGCCCCGGAGCTCCTTGCCTCCACTTCCCCAGCACTGGAATCTCAAATGCTCACTGCCACACTCGACTTCTTCATGTGGCTCCTGGGAATCAAACCGTGCTCCTCTAAGTGCTCTTACAGCCATGGGGCCGCTGTGACTGATGGGTCAGAATTTAAGTTTCAGCTTCCCAAAATGAATTCCACATAGGAACAGAAGCCCCTCCCGCCACAAGCACGTCTTCCAATTGAAAGGGCTCTGGGACTTGACTCCTGGGACAGACTGTGAAATCAGCATTAGGAAAGCTTTTCTACACCTTTCTTCTCAGCTGGGCTTGACTAGAATGCTGAGGTCAACTCTCCAACATCACTTCTCTGAAAACCTTTCTTTTTATGGTCTGAGAATAAACTTGGGGAAAAAGAAATGATCTTCCTGGCCAGCTCCTAAGATTCACTGTCTGGAAAGCAAACTTCCGCAGTCTGGAAAGAAAGCACTTTCTCTCCACACAGCCACCTGTCATCCTCAATTGTGACTACTCAGTGTGGCTACAAACCTAGCCGAGTGGGGACAAGTCTCCCTTGCAGAATGAGGCTCTCTTTTACCTTCATTTCTAAAGTGGAAAGTGCAGCTGTCTGTCCCACATTTACATGTCTTCGTTAGGACTTTTCTCTAAACTTTATTTCAGGACTCAACGCAGATGGTACAACCAAAGGAGAGTGAGAGTTATGTATTTTTAAATTCTATGTCTTTTTTTTTCAAAAGCTGAGCTTCAAGACTCTAGCTGTCTGAGCAAGTCCCCATTCGTAGAGGAAAATCGTTTCTCTGTGTTGTCACATGACTGGGGGAAGTGAGTTTAGATGTCATGGTCATTTTTCATCTATGTGTGGGAAGAAAGAGAGAGAGACACTCACACAGAGACAGACAGACACACACACACACACACACAGTGGGGGGGGTTGTGCATCTTTTATAGCCCAGACTGACCTCAAACTGGCTATATATCTGAGTATGACCTTAACTGTAGTTGACTCTTTCTTTTGGAGCTGCCAGACCCCAAATAATGACATGGAGACTTTTATTATTAGTATTAATATTATTATTACTATTATTGTTAATATAGCTTGGCCTTATCTTAGGCTTGTTCCCAACTAGCTCTTATAACTTCAGTTAACCTGCTTCTATTTATCTTCGTTCTGCCATGTGGTTTTTTACCTCTCCTCCATTTTGTATGTTTGACTTCCTCCATGTCTCACTGGCATCTCTCTCACACACCTAGATTCATCCCTAGTTCCCCTTTCTGCCAGAAGTCCGTCCTATTCTCTCCTGCCTGGCTATTGGCCATCCTGCTCTTTATTAAACCAATCAGATGGCAGGCAAGGTAAAACAACAACACATCTTTACACAGCTTGCTCAAATATCTCACAACACTTAACTTCCTAATACTCCTGCCTCTACCTCCTGAGTGCTGGGACTCCAGAAACCTCCACACCCAGTTTATATGTGTTGGGAATGGAACCCATGGCTTTGTAAACACTGTTCAAACATTCTTCTATCTAAGCTACATCCTCCATCCTTGATTTTTTTTTACTTTGGTTTGTGTTCACCATCAAAAAAATGTCTATTATCAGGACAGTCAATTGTTTTCATTTCCATACATAAATACACATAATTTACATCTGTTAATGAACTGTTTGCAAGTTAATGTCATATAGTATCTGTGGGGCCTTTTTTCCCCTCCCAACAAAAGCTCTGTGCCAGTGTACTGAAAGCCTTTAGACCAAGGTCTTGTAGAACACACAACTTCCTCTGCAAGGATGTCAAACTGATAACACTTCCTGTTCTATCGAATTGACTGGTTATTTACAAACTAAGCAAGTATTTTTTTATGATTGTGGCGGTGTGTGTATGTATGTATAGAAAGAGCATGGATGTGTTTTAATAGTTTCTTAGTCTTAATTTTTTTCATTGAACTATTTAAGCCTCAGTTATAAACCAAATAGACATTGAACTTCTTGGTGGGACTCACAGTAACCATCTTGCTATAGTGAAAAGAGACCCTGCCCATTGCACCTGCCCTGGACAGTGGCTTCCATGGAAGCAGACAGCCTCCTCTGTGGCTGCCCTGATCACCCCATCAGCTGTGACCCAGGGCCTGTGGGTGAGCTTCCGCTTTCCCTCTCCATTCCGTCTTCAGCAGCAACTGCTCACTGATGGACAAGCGTGGAATGCATTTCCTGCCCCCTCCCGGCTCTCGTGAGAAAGCAAAGCCTAAATAAATCACACGTTTACAGCTGTTCTGTGTCTGAGCAGGTGGCAGCCTAGTGCATGAGCGCAGCTCTGTCCTACCTCACTCCCCGATGTAACTGTGGCTGCGACAGCTGCAGGTGTCCCATATGCAAATATATCAAGTGCACTGGGATGGCCTCGTCCAGATTGCAGCTAAATCTCAGCTGGAGCTTCCCAGCAATGATCTGGGCTCTTAAAACCTCTGTTTCTGCTTGCCTTTCTGACAGTTTGTAGTTTGGCCTTTTAATTTGTTGAGTATTCCCTAGAGTGAGCACAGGTTGCTGAGCTTGAATTTTTGTTCATCATCCTTAATTGTGGCTACTTTTCTACAAAAAAAATTATGGTGTCAGGAGGTGGTGGCACATGCCTTTAACCGCAGCACTCAGGAGGCAGAGACAGGCAGATCTGTCTGAGTTGGAGGCCCTGGTCTACAGAGCGAGTTCCAGGACAGTCAGGGCTATGCAAAGGAACCCTGTCTCAAAATACAAACCAAACCATGCCTTGTGTGGTGGTGTATGCCTAAATGCCTAGAATCCATCACCCAGGAGAATGAAACCAGAGGATTGAGGGTTCAAGATCAGCTTGGGCTTGGCTTTGTCTCAAAAACCAAAGGCTGCTGTCTCACTCAGAGGTGAGTGCTTACTTGCCATCCATAAAGTCCTGGGTTCAAGCCTCAGCACAAGATAATAATGCCTAATTACACCTTCAGGGAGATGCAATGTTTACTAAGAGATGGGAGAATGATCCGATGCCGTGTGAACCTCTGTGTCCAGAGATGCTGGTGCACATCTGCTGGTGTCCCGGCTGTGTGTGCATTGATCAGCAGATACAGTCTCCATTCAGTCCCATGGCCTCATACCGGTCCTCTAGGATAGGATGACAAACATTGCCTAACTTGTAAGACATTCAGAGGCCTGACTTTTTAGAATTAAAATGATGAATTCCTTCATCCCTTAAAATAAATGAAAGGCAATGTTTCCTGGAGAATATTTGCTGTGTCCCATTGTTACAGTAGAAGACAGAGGTCTGTCTTCATTCGGTGAGAGCGGGTGATCGCAAAGCAATCTAATTTTTGTTTTTTTCGAGACAGGGTTTCTCTGTATTGCTTTGGAGCCTGTCCTGGAACTCACTCTGTAGACCAGGCTGGCCTCGAACTCACAGAGATCCGCCTGCCTCTGCCTCCCGAGTGCTGGGATTAAAGGCGTGCGCCACCAACGCCCGGCGCAATCTAATTTTTAAAGTGAGCAGTTTGTGTGTACGGGTCTGGCTCTCTCCAGATAAGTTCCTGGAGGAAGCAGCACGGCTGGGGATAAAGACGATGAATGACGCATGCCATGGGGATAACACGGAAGCAAAGTCCCTTTCCAGGAACCCCGGCTCTCAAAGCCTTCCCTCCCACTAGAAACCAGCCTAGCTGAGGACAACAGTTGTCTGGTTCTGAGTGGAGTGAAGATGGATGTCTGACTGTAGCCATGGTTCCCAGGGGACAGAGAGAGACTTCCTTCCAGATTGAGGCTAATGCGCTAGGGCTCCCTAGGGCGGCACTGCCTGGGACATTACTTCAGTGTAGTGATTGCTTAGCACACAGTTCTTTTTTGTTGTTGTTGTTGTTGTTTTTTTTTTTTTTTTGGTTTTTATGAGACAGGGTTTCTCTGTATTGTTTTGGAGGCTGTTGGTCCAGCCTGGCCTCAAACTCACAGAGATCCACCTGCCTCTGCCTCCCGAGTGCTGGGATTAAAGGCGTGCGCCACCAACGCCCGGCTAGCACACAGTCCTTTAACTGTATTTCTACAATGTCTCTCCGCTCACAAAAGCATCTTCCATACACTAAATGTTAGCTCTTGAGTGAGTATTGATGCAACTTGTCTAAAACATGCAAAGTTTTTACCATTTGTCTTCAGACTATCAAGGATTTAGGTTGGGGGGGGACCAATGGACGCTTTTCGTTGTTTTGTAAAATGTTAATGAGATCATCAGACCCCTGACTGCCCCCTTCTAAACACTCTGTTCACAGGGATACCATGGCTGAGGACTGCAGTGGCTACCCTGGGAAGACTAGGGATAACCATGGCCTTTGAAATCGTTTATTTGGTAAATTCGGAGTTGTATCCGACAACATTACGGTAATTCTGGCATATATGGTGTCATTTCTTCTAACTATAGCCATATGTTTCCAAGGTTGATGATCTATTAACCTGGGCTCAGTTCAACCCCGTAAGACAATGGGCTTTGAGTTGTAGCTCCCATTTGTTATCTGCCACGTTTGATGTCAGAAGCACGTCCTGGGACAGTAGCCGTGATTTGTGAAAGGGGCTAGCTTGGGAGCAGAAGGCTCCCTGGCATGCCTGCTTAGACTGTAAGTTGGGGCTGCATCCTCTAGGATGCTAAGCCTATTTTGACATCATCACATGTCTTGCTTTGTGAGCAGCTGGTGTTCAGGGCTCATGCAAGTTGACTTTCTTGCCCGACGCGCTATTCCTACGGGCGTACCTTGGAGAGTACCAAACTAAGCTTTGAGTGTCATGCATGGACTGGCAGGCTCCGGAGCTGCTGACGGGGAAACGTCTCTTCACCAGTGCCGGAGACACCTCCTCACTAGCCTCGTTGCCAGACACAACAGAATGGGAGTGGCTTGTTTAGGGGAACGAGGCGGTAGTAGCTGTCAGAGCTGAAAATGCAGGGAGTATTGACACAGCTTCTGTAATTTAGTGTGCCTGGATATTTTTATTATTCTGAATTTGTTTTAAAAAGCTTTCATCTGAAAGTATGTTTTAATCTGCAGGAACTTTGGGGTTTCGCTCTGCTCGGGCTTGTGTGACTTTGGGGGTATCATAGCTCCGTTTCTACTCTTCCGGCTAGCAGCTGTGTGGCTAGAATTGCCTCTGATCATCTTTGGTAAGACTTCGTGTGTGGGGGGAGAGGGTCTGAGTGTGTGGAGGGCTGGTGTGCATGTGTATGTGGGTGCAAAGGCACATGTGTGTACATGCTTGCAGAGGCCAGAGGCCAACCTCTGGGATTGTGTCTCAGGAACTAGCCACCTTGTTTATCAAGACAAGGTCTCTACTGAGGCTCACTAATTGGACCAGGGTAGCCAGCCAGTGAGTCTCGGGGATCCATTCACAACACTGGAATTACAAGTTCATGCTACCACAGTGATACCATGCTACCACCATGATACCATGCTGTGATGCGACCATGTTACCATCATGATACCGTGCTGTCATGCGCCCATGCTATCAAACTACCATGCTACCTTGCTACCACGCTATCATGGTACTATGCGACCACCATTCTGCTATGCTACCACTATGCTGTTCTCAGCTGATTGCTTTGCTTCTATAGCTGGAGTTCAGGACCTCACACTTGTCTGCCAGATATCTTACTGACTCATTTTCGTGCTAGCCTCAAGTCCGCTCTCACTGATTCATGCCTTACAGAACCTGTGTTGGTCACTGGGTTTAATGCTGACGGCATCCATTCCATCTTCTTATGACTGTTTGGGTTTTAAAGAGCCAATATGATTATCAGTACATTCAGAATGCCAACCGGCCTAAAGTCACTCCACATTAACAGGTTGTGATGAAGAGTGTTCGTGTCGGCCTCCTTTATTAGGTTCTAAGTTAGGATCAAACACTGTGGAATTCTTCTATGACACTGGAAAATGAAAACATCAATTTCCAGGGACTACATTTTAGCTTCATTGTCTTGTGTTTAAAGATGGGCCTGGAAGCTAATTGTAGTTCCTAAAATATTCAGTATCTAAATTAGCTTCGATGCTAAAAGTGTTTTGTTAAAAAAAAAAATAGTGGACACAAAATTACTCTGCATGTGCCCTGTCATCCACGTCCCTCGTGCATTCTGTGAGGGGTACGCAGCGGACTGGAGGGCCACTGCGCATCTTATTCTAGTGCGTTGTACAACGAGGTCAGGTTGGTGGCTTGAGCACACAGGAGCACTGGCACTGTGGGCATGTGCACAGCTAAAGGCCAGCTCTTCGCTGCCAGGAGGCAGTGGTTGAAGTTTCCCGGCACATCGATTAATCTGTGGCCATGGCAAAGAAACAGGAGAGAATGCTTTGCCCAGAAGTGCGGCTCCAAAGACCGGCAAAGGGAGGTGGTACCCAGGGCTTGGTATGGGGTCAGTAGCCCATGGAAGAAGAGGTTAGCGTGTCTGAGCGCTGCTGACAGCAGACTGAAGATGTCTGGGAAGTGGATTAAACACTGCAGTGCAGAGTCCCCAAGGACAGGAGTAGGGGAGGCTTTGCCCCGAGGCAGAGAGTGGCCTTCAGGTGTAATGTGACAGGGGGGTCTCAGAAAGATAATAGGCAGAGGGGAGTCACCTGTCCAGGGAGAGACTGACTCTGCCTTCCCAGTGAACAGCAGAGGCCTGGAGTATCTGCTACTTGCCAGGAGCCCTGGAAGCATAGTCACATATTTCATGCAGCCTCCCAGCCGGTACCCATGAGATGGCATTGGCTAGTGATGTCATGGCTGCCACAGTTTACCTGTGTGTGCCCGCCCCATCAATGGTGGTTGCATAGTGAAGTCACTACAGTTCTCAGTGTTTGCCCCTACCATCACATGACTGTGGTGTACACTAGGAGCACAGGGACCGGGAGCTGTGCTGAACCCAGCAAGGTGGTCATGGTAAGCAGAGGAATGCGGCGGCGTTGGAGGCAGGTGAGGTCAGGGAGCGAACATAAAGGCGGGAAGGGTCAGTCTGTGTGTTCCTAAGCGGGCATGTCTCTCCCCCTCTGGCAGGCATCCTGGCGTCTGTCTGTGGTGGCCTCGTGATGCTTTTGCCTGAAACCAAGGGCATCGCCTTGCCGGAGACGGTGGATGACGTGGAAAAGCTTGGCAGGTACTACACGAGATTCAACACGGGGCCATTGATTATCCACAAGGGAAATGAAGTTAAGTCTTCATTTAATTTAGCCTTAAAATGTTCAAAAGATTTAAAAAGGTTAGTGCAGAGGAGTGTAGAGCTATAAAAAGAATGCGGGCTATTTTTAAAACGTGACTGGGAAGCGTTTCCTAGTAAGGTGCTGAAACCCAGAGGTGATTTAAGCCAGGGGCTGATGATGGGACCGTGGCAAAGCCCAAATGTGTACGAGTTAGGGACTGACGGAAAGTGGCGAGGGACTGACAGAAAGTGGCGAGGGACTGACGACGGAAAGACGGCGAGGCATCAGAGTATGGGCCACCCCCTGGGATGAACAGGAGTGTCTGTCTTATGGAACGACACAGATGTTCCTCCAAGATCCACCACAAAGGGAAATGCAAGCAATGGGGGGGGGGGCATCATTTCAAAAGGCGCCAACAATGCTACATGGGAACATATTGACAGATAAAGAGAGCTGGATTATTGATAGGAATAAAGTAAGATAAATAATAATACATACCAATTAGATAAAAACTTAAGACAATAGATAAATGATTACTCAATAAATACAAGTTAGAAATAAAGATAAGACAGTAGACACACAGACAGTAAATAGGTAGACAGGTGGATAAATAGACACAGACAGACAGGCAGGCAGGCAGACAGACAGACAGACAGACAGACAGACAGCAAAAGAGAGAGATCAAGTTTTGACAGGAATATCTGCGTTGTTTTTTTGGCTGTATAATGATTAATTTCCATACGTTGGCTCACAACCACCTGTAGCTCAGTTCCATTGGATCCAGCGCCCCCTTCTGACTCCCTTAGGAACACACACACACTTCCAGACGTGGAAACAACACACTCACACGTACAAAACAAATCTAAATTCTTTTAAAAAAGAATTTAGAAAAGGAAAACGAAGTAGACTCTACAGTTCTACAAATCAAGATGGGCCATAATTATTTACTATAAACTAAAACTACCTAGCACCAGGTTATTAAATCCCGTTAGCATGCTTCCTTCTGAAACCAGACGGGATGGGTCTTCTGTCCACACTGAGAGCTTCTGTGTGCTTGATGAAACAAGCCATGCTGGCGAGGAGTAGCCGGAACCTATCTCCTAGTGGTTCTCAATCTTCCTAGTGCTGGGACCCCTTAACACAGCTCCTCGTGTTGTGGCGACCCCCAACCCTAAAATCATTTCCGCTGCTACTTCACAGCTGTAATTTTGCTACCGTTATGAATCGTAACGTAAACGACCTGATGCGCAGGTGGCCTTTGGCAACCCCTGCGAAAGGGCCGATCGGCCCTCGAAGGGGTCGCCACCCACGGGTTGAAAACCGCTGTAATCTAATTCTTACATGATCTTTCACAAGGGCTTCCCTTGTTCTCCTTTGCCTTGGCAGCTCGCAACTGCATCAGTGTGGCAGGAGAAAGAAAACCCAGGTTTCCAGTTCTAATGTCTGAGGCCCCCCATGTCACCTGGAGGGGACCGACGCTGTGCGGGTGCCACCCACACCCAGGAGAAGCTGAGCCTGGTGGGAATACACCTGTGTGGTGTGCTTCAAGCTCCTCCGCGTGGCGCCCTTCCAAGGAACCTTAACGCCGGAGATTTTGTATGGTATAGATGAGTAAGGTTTATCATGCTACCCAAGCTTCTGGGAACACATAATCTTTGACCTGTTTAGCCAAGCGCCTATAGGTACACAGATTCTGCATAGGCTTTCTTTCGTTGGGAGCAATGTCTCTGACACATTGGGTTAAGGAGAGACGAGAGAGCCTCAACTGGTTCTCAGGACAGCCCCATCCAGGAGGCAGGATGGACAAACCGAGGACGGGAACGTGCACAGAGTGTGCTCAGCAGATTGATCCAGACAGCAGAGAGCTGTGTTCTGAGGAGTCTGAGGGCTGCTAGTCCTGCCTCCTTTGAACTCAAAACACACGCCTTCACAGAGCCGACATGTCAGGTGTGGCGTCCCCAAGCCCCGTGTGGTTCCCACCCACGTTGTGAGAACCTGGCTGTATCATTATAAAGTCATATTGGTGTCCTGAGACCCCCGATATTCTGTGCCTCCTTCAGTGGACCCTTGTAACCACAGACTCTTTACTGAGGAAGAGAAAACATGGGTTATGGTTTCTTGGGTCTTAGAATTTGAATAGTAAAAGAATAATGATGTCCCATTTGTGAATTCAGTTCCAATGGTGCCTGTGGCTGGGAGTCAAACACACACACAGCCAGTTTCCATTCCGTCTCAGCACTTTTGACTTGTCTTGGGGGGGGGGGGTTGTTTTCATTTAAGGGGAAAGTCAACCGTGTCCACACTTTGAAAGAGTTGGCAGCCACTTTACAAGTGACTTGAGAGACTAGTGAGGGATCGAAACTTTTCCTTTTTTTAAATCAAGACTTTTCAAGTGCGAGGCTCAAATGCAAACCCAGGGTTCCACGTCGCGTGCTGTTCTCAAGATCTTAGGCTGAATCTTTGGCATGGACAGACAGCATTAGCACTAAAGGAAAACCTTCCCGTGGTGGGAGGGGAAAATACATCTGTGGAGAACGTGTGTGTTTCCGACACCATAGAACATGTGTGTGATGACACTGTAATCCTCAAAGCACATGGGAACCGAGTGCGAGTGCTCCGTCTCTCGACAGCCTTCTGGGTGTTCAATGCCGCACCCGCTCTGTGTGCACAGGCGCCTGCTGGCCTTTCTCTGCTGTCGCACGGCTCATGTCCACTTTACTGTTGCCTTTGGATTGCATTTGGAGTTGACGTGTTTCATAACAATAAACAATTTTTAAACTGTTTCTAAAAATACCCATCCCTTGCTCCTCCCTCTGAGCGTGCGTCACAGTAGCACACTACCCCACGTAACAGTGTGCGCTGCTACCCCACGTAACAGTGTGCGCTACTTACTGTCTCCAGACTGGGGAAAAAAGGAACATTGCTCCACTGTTGGCTTGCTGTTCCTTTATGGGCTCCCGACGCTGTTCGTGCACCCGGCTGTGACCCACAATAACATCCAGACCCTCAGCTGGTCTTGTGTTAGGTTTCCATCGCCTGGTCTATGCCACGACCCAGCTTCACATTCCGGGATGTGGGCTAGAGGCCAGTTGACAGGAGCAGATTTCAGTCCCCAGAATAGAACTCATTCCTCTGACTCCTCGTCCGTGTGGTGGCTTTGAAAACAATCTCCTCAGTGCCAGAAAAGCAGACATTGAAGATGTGTGTCAAGGCTGTCATTAGCTGATGAGGTCAATATACAGTGACTTACTGAGACCTTCTTGGTAACCCTACCATCTGCTTAGTCCTGCAGGCACCTGGCCCTTAGAAAGACAAGCCAAGTCCCTGCAGTCAGCTGTTTTTAAGTTGTTAGGGTGAACAAAAGAGCATGAAATTGTCAAAGACTTCCCTTACCTCCCCCCAAAACCAACTCAAAACAAAGTAAGTATAGAGTTTATTTTCAACAAATGCCATAGCAGTGTTGGTCTATTATCACAAAGTCCAGAAGTCCACGGACAGGAAAAAAATTTAGCCACAATAATACAAAAAAGGGTCTGAGGGGTGACAGGAGGCAGGGGTTCAGGGTAGTGTCTCTGTTTGATTACTGTCTATTTCCAAGCAACATAAGTCCCTTCCCCACATTCCAGCTTCTAGGACGTTTTAGTGAGGAGATGTTTTGCTCTGCCTCCCGCCCAATTAATTATCTCTCATGACTCCTTCTATCCAGCTAACAAACCGTGAAACACGAACATAGACACCGGGCTTATTGGGGTGAGCACAGCCAAGACCCCAAGAAGTGACTCCTTGTAAAATGTACTTGTCCTTCTCGAAGCAGACCAGAGGTCCTCCGCTGTCACCCTAGATGAAGGAGGAAAGAGTCCGCATGAGGATTGAGCCACAACTTTATATTATGGGATGTCGTCTTTGTGTTGGTTTCCTCTCAGGCCCAGGGTTGTCAAATCCTCTTGGACTGAAATCCCACGAGGTAGAGATGGGTCAACCCAAGACCATGTTGGTCTCTTTTCTTACCTGGCAGCTGTCGGTGCCACCAGCCAGAATCCCGGCACAGAGCTCTGTGGACCTGACTCTGCCGTTGAGGTACTCATAGCGGTTGCACACCTTGTTTTCGATGACGGGCAGCTGCGCCTCCTTGAGAAGGCCGGCACCGAAGGTCCCTGTGACGAACGGTAAACACGTGCTTAACAGGCCATACAGGGTCCCCAGGAAACTTCCAGAATGAGGGTGGAAGTTATAGGACTCTTCTTTGTGTGGTTGAGTAGCACGAGGAAGCGCTGCTAACACTTTTTAGCCTTTAAGTTGTAAGCATTATACAAGACGTTCCCTTCCCAAGACCTGCTGCGGCATTCCCGGCTTCTTCATGGGGGGAAGGGGTTATGGTGTGTGTGTGTGTGTGTGTGTAGACCAGAGGTCCATTTCTTAGGATATTATCCAATATTATCCACCTTACATGTTTTTGAGAGAGGGTTTCTCACTGGCTTGGAAATGGCTCAGTAGGCTATTCTGGATGACCAGGTGTTTCAACCTCCAGGTACTATGAATACATACCACCAGGTCTGTATTTATGGTTCTAGAGATTCAAATCAGGTCTTCACGCTTACATGGCAAACACTTTACCAAATGAAACATCTTCTCAGCCCCTAGGCCATTTTAACAATGCTACAGTCTCCCTGAGAGCTTAATGGAGAGTGGCTGCTTAGTGACCACAGGGTTTTCCTTTTTCCATAAGGGAAATGTGTTCTAGAAACACGATGATGGTTGTGCAATATTGTAAATGAACTACAGACATTTCAAACAGTCCACTTTATATCATGTGTATTTATGGCCTCCGCAAACCATAAAGTAACTTTTACTAAGAATTAACTGTTCCAGGAACAAGCTGGTGGCATGGTGTAATTTCATTTAATTCTTGAACTAGTTCTAGGGAGTAGGTACTCCTCTGATTCTTGATAGCGTTTAAGGAAATGAGACTTGGTGTGGTTGTAGTGTTTACCTGGAACCTGGGGCCGTGAGGTCAGTATCTGTGTACTTCTTGACCAAGCTCTCCCTACCCCCTCCTGCTCACAAAGGCTCGACATCTCCACTCCTTCAGTTAACCTTCACCGCGTGATATTCTCCTAAGTCTCAGTCCTCAGATGTGATATACACATATTAATCGCCCGATTATTTTCTAGACTGCTATGACAGTAAAAACCCACTAAAAACGTCAGTCCTTAACAACCTTATGAGTGTCCACATTGCACGATCATTAAAATATCGTAACTTTTCAAACACAAGCTAATGTAGTAGGTGTAAATCATTGGGATCCCTTTGTTTTATGACGCATATTTCTTCTTTGTGTGAAAAAGCTGCAGCTTTCGTGTGCCAGACTGAGACTGAACATCTCAGACCCGCCAGAGATGCCATTGTCCAGAGGGACCCACCCAGGACTTCTCCGTGATTCTGCACTCGACCCAGATTGCCAGTTTGCAACCCCAGCTTTCCTTAGGGTTTTGTAGCATACCTTTGCTTTGCTAGCATAGAGCAGCCAAGAAATAACAGACAGTCCCTTCCCCAGACACTGTCACTAGACTTGTCATGGGAACAGATGGGGTGGTGTGGGCCTTTCCTGGACCAAGTACGGGAACGGAGGTGGAACCCTCTGAAAATGCTTGACTCAGCCTGAATCTGTTGCAGCGTAGATGCTCTTCACTTTCTGTACCTCTGGGTGACAGGAAGTCTATATGGTCTATGAAGTTATGCTGCCATCAGGTGGCCGAAGTCAAGAAGGCATCTCTAGGGGCCTTGGGGCTACTTGTAAGCGGCCTATAAGCCTAGCACTAGTGGGACCCTTGCAAATCAGGAGGACAGCCCACTCGGATGAGTCCCCAGCCTCAACAGCCAATCAGCACTGGAGTATGAAACCCTGGGCAAGCCCAGGGCATGAAGTAAAGAGAGGGAGAATTCTGATCTAAGAAACTAAGAACACTGATTGACTTAGTATAGATGATGTGGAAAAAAATTGAGCTTGGAAAAAAAAATTGAGCTAGAGCTACGTGACTCACCTAAGAATCATTTTCCCAGTAGATGTGTTACAGGGCCAGAAATGACAGAGAGCTTAGTACAGGATGGTGTCAGAGATCTATGGCAGGGTAGGAAGGAAAGTGGATGGGCTTGGGGAAATCAGGTGTGGCTGAGTTCACCGCTCTGGGGATGTGATGACGATGGTGGGGGTGACAACGGTGACAGTGATGACGACAGTGGTACTGATGGCGCGGTGGAAACGCCGGTGGTGATGGAGGTGAGGGTGATGTCGGAGATGTTGGTGATGGAGATATGATGGAGATGGTGCAGTAGTGGTGTTGGTAGCTATGGCAACGCTGATGATGAAGGGGTGGTGGCGATGGTGGTGATGTCACCGTGGTGAGGGTGGAGGTCGTGGTGACCGTGGTGGTGATAGATGGTGAAATAGAAATGTTGCTGGTGGCGGTGGCCGTTAATAATTGTGACGGTGACACTGGTGCGGAGGTGGGAGCGTTGACGATAGTTGTGGTGTTGGTGATGGTGACAATGAGGCTGAGGCAAAGACACTGATAATAGTGATGGTGTTGATGAAGGCAATGAAGATCATGGTGCTGGGGGTGATGATGACAGCGATGGCAGTGTACTAATTATAGAATAACGGCCGGGCATGATGGTGCATGCCTTTGATCCCAGCACTCAGGAGGCAGAGGCAGGTGGATCTCTGTGAGTTCGAGGCCAGCCTGGTCTGCAGAGTGAGTTCCAGGACAGCCTCCAAAACAATACAGAGAAACCCTGTCTTGGCAACCAAAAAAAAATTATAAAATATCGTTAACACCCACAACGGCCTTATAAAGTAGTACAGATGTGGGCGCTGATGCTTAAAGAAGTTGGCTAACCTCTCAGTTAACCAAGATCCTTGCCATGTTTCTGTGAGAAAACACATAGTCAGAAGGGAGGGATATTTCTTTTGGTTTATGGTTCCTGTGTAGTCTCTCGTGGCGTGGTGACAGCCGAGCCTGCAACTGTAGCAGGAGGCTGCTTGCTCACATCATGGTGACCAAGGATCAGGAAACAGAGAAAGGGAAGGACTGTGAGGCTCATGGGTTGCCTCCCCTTTACCCTTTTATTTAATCTGGGCTTCCAGCTCTGGGTGGGTCTGCCCTCCTCGTTAAATGCCCCCTGGAGACGCTCTCACAGACATGCCCAGAGTTGTGTCTGACAGATGATTCTAGTCAAGTTGACAGTGAAGATCAATCACAAAGTTGATTTTTTTTCTGTCTCCTTAGGAGGCTTTCACCCAGCACTCCATAGGCCTGCTGAGAGACCTACCCTTCGTTCCTCCTGAGGATGAGTGGTCCTTGCCCCCAGCTCTAGAACATGTAGCATAGATCTGAACCAGGCATAACTATTTCAGAAGTGGCTCATGACCAGAGTCTGAACTTTCCAAGCTAGGCAGGTTATTGTTGCCACTGGGAGAAAAGAGGCATCCTTCATTCCCAATGGCAGGGCCAAAGTTGACTCATCATGTGCATCCACAAGAAAGGCAATGCCCCTGTGTGGCCAGGGTGACCCCTAGATGACCTCTAGATGGCTCCGGACAGAGTCTAGGGCCTGTCCATCACAATCGCCAACTGACTTCTAGACCACTAGGAAGTCCCTTCATTTTGCTTAATTCAATGTAAGTTGCCTTTTCTGTGGCTTACCAGAAAGAGTCACCTTGGATACAACTCCGTCTTCAAGAGTGGCATCTGTGACGCACGGACACCTGACACCTCACTCACTCACTCACTGCTTCCCCCAACACAGCCCTGCAGATGCTCTGGGTCTAGGACATCATCAGTGGGATGTCCCCAGTTATTTGCAGCTGGTGATCAGGAACCTGCACTCCTCTCCAGGTCCCTGCAGTCAGGAACAAGCCTATGTCCCTGCTGTGTGACCACGTGTCTCTGGGCACCAGGATCCTCGTTTACACAAACATTTTTTAATTGTGAAGCACTAAGAACAACCTAGCACTTCCTTGGGGGGCACATCAGTCACCCAGGTTTCCCTTCCCTGACCTCAGTGCTGCAGAATCAGAAGTGTGCTGAGGAAGACTGGAAATCGGTGGGGTGAGGGGAAGCCAGGCTTGGGATGATGTAGACAAGGGGGTCTGTGTGCATTGCGTGGGGGGGTCTGTGTGTGCGTGTGCATGGGGAGGTCTGTGGGGGGGTCTTTGTGTGTCTGCGCGTGTGGGGGGGTCTGTGTGTTGTGTGTGTGGGGGCGTGCATTTGTGTGTGTGTGTGCACGCGCATGCGTGTGGGGAGTCTGTGTGTGGGTCTGTGTGTGTGCATGTGTGCGTGTGTGTGTCAGTCTGTCTGTCTATCTGTCTGTCTGCTTGTGCACAAAATCTCTCTTTGAAAGAAAGGCTTCTCCAGAGGACAGAGCCACCACATGCCTCAATGCTCCGAGAGGGAGGCCACATCTGTAAAGTGTTCTTACTGTCCCCAGGGCAGCTTGCTGGGTTAGTCATCACCAGGCATATGTAAGAGAGGAGAGTCCCTAAAGTAAGTACGCACTGTGACAGTGGCGCCTGCATGAGTTCGTTCCAGCCCTGACCCCATCAGCCGTGTCTAGACATCCGGGGCCTTTCTGTCCTCCCCACGCCGGCAGTTTGCCCCGTCTAACCGCCTCTCACTACTACTTTTGCCGTTGTTGTGCTACACCATATCTGAGAGCTCAGAATAGTGAAGTCCATGAAAGGCGCAGGCTAATTGGCAGGTTATGCCGAAGCCCCTCCCCTGAGGAAGGGACGTTTGCATCGCAACTGCAGGCTAAGGGCCTAAGGAGCGGCTCCTCTCCTCACGGCTTGGTGACTGATTGTGGAGACAGAGCAAGTGTTCAGACACATGCAGAAAGGAGCTGGACCACATTCGCACGCAGGGCTTCGTGCAACGTGTTCCAGGTGGTTCCCTTTGTCTGTCTGCTTGTGCACAGATGGTTCCCTTTGTCACATGGTCCGCAGGTCAAAGCCACTTTATCTCACCTTTAGTGTCTCCCCAGCCAGTGATGTAGCATAGCGTCCGGTCGGCAACCACGTAATTTGGCGACGGCAGACACGCCGGAATGACTTTGTCGTTGATGGTGGCAGGGCTGAAAGGGAAGCATCGAATATTACGTCAGCCGCTCTGCGAGAGGCCCCCACCCTTCACCTGCAGATCACGCACAGCCAAGTGTCACCTGCTTCCGTGTCCCAGCATTCTCCGAGCTGTTTTTACTTCATTGACTTAGGAAAATATAGAAAACACTTCGTCCTCACACTGCCCTATGAGCTAAATGATCACTTGTATGGGAGGGGGTGTGTGTTTATGCACACGTGTCCACGTGTCCACGCAGGCACCAAAGGCACACTTGGGCATTTGCGGGTGGAGGCCAGAGGTTGACATCAGGAGTCTTCCTCAATTGGTCATCATTTGAGACAGGGTCTTCCACCGAACTGGAGTTCACTGAGTTGGTGAGCTGCAGTGAGCTGCAGGGATCCTCCTGTCTCTGCCTCCCCAGTGCTGATGCTGCAGGTGCACACCTTCATGCCAAGCTTTTTACATGATGTTGGAGAGTGTGTGTGACGCTTTACCAACCGAGCTCTCTCCTCAGCCCTGTCCTGTGGTTTACGATTTGCCATTTAATTTAAAATGGGGGCCATTCTGGGGGTGGACCACCTAGATGTCACCCAGCTACCCTAAAACTAAAATGTATTTGGCCGGGACAAGTTGTTCCAACTTTCGGGGCCCCATATCTCCTCATGAGTTAAAATGGTTAAAATGGTTATAAGAATCCAGACAATTGGTGTGCACCAAGCGAGGGTGGGTTCCAAGTAAGCTTCTGGGGACAGAAGCAAAATGGCCCAGTTTTCAGGGAACCTTCACCTGCATAGAGGTTCGCGGGCTCACGAGTGTCTTTTCTGACCTTAGTGAGTTTTTCAGACCTTTTTGAGTTCAAGAGGAGAAATGACTGGAAATGAGAAATGCCTTGTCCTCGTGGAGAATCCACACTGTCTCCAGCTTCGGGGCAGACACATTTCCCCAAAATGACCAAAGCAGACCCAACCTCTCTGAGGGATGTCATTCACAGGCACAGTAAACCCCCAAAACACGTCAGGCTGTCAGAGAACAGGATCCTCCTATTTGCTGAATTACTTGTTCCAGCCGTCAGATTGGCCTGAATACCTGAGAGGACCACAAGGACAGGTGGTCTTGTATTCCTCGTGTGGTGGGATGCAAGAAGAGGCTCAGGGGGCGCGAGGGAGGTAGCGCCCTTCTTTCCTTCTAGTGCACCAAGACCCCCGAGATATCATCTCTCAGTTACACCCCGAGACATGGCCCCGTGTTTGAGACCAGACCTGTCACTTCCAGAATCATCTCTCTGTCATCTGGAACCCATCAGGCACAGCTAACGTGTTCCACGTGCCTGCTGCCTGTTCCCAAATGAGTATTTCTCAAAATAGCTGACTGTTTGGAAGATGTGTCCACGGGGACCTGTTTCCAAACACTCCTAACTCTGTGGCACAAGGCTAATTACCCAATGTCAGACTTAAAACACACACACACACACACACACACACACACACACACACACACACACACACACACACTTCAGCAGGGAAAATAGGGCCAAAGAACAGTGGCAGAACTTGTGTTTGTGAATTGCTTCTTGTTTCTTTCTGCCCTTTCCTGTGTGGGGTTGTCCACTGTTTGTTTGTTTGTTTGTTTGTTTGTTTGTTTGAATATATGTGTGTGCATATTTGCATGGGGCCAGCAGAGGCCAGAAGGAAGTGTTAGATCCCTTGGAGCTGAAGTTTCTGGTTGAGATCTGGTTGATACAGACACTGGGAGCCAAAGTCTAGCCGGCTGAAGAAGCAGCAAGCCTGCACCGCTGCTGAGCCATCTCTCCAGCACCCCCACATCTGTGGGGGGGTTGTTATTATTTTGGTTTGTTGAGATAAGGTCTCTTTACATAGCCCTGGCTGTCCTGGAACTCACTCCGTAGACCAGGCTGGCCTCGAACTCACGGAGATCTGCCTGCCTCTGCCTCCCAAAGGCATGGGCCACCATGCCAGGCACATGTTTGTAGTTTTAAAAGTGTCTTGAGGCACATAATCTCATTTGATTCTCACAGCACATCATGCCAAGAGGGCCTTTGTCAGCCTAGGGTAACTGATGGTGAATGCATGTCACCCGGTGAGCACTGGGTGGGGGCGATGCTGAGGTGATAAGGTACTTGACATTTTAACTCTCTCCTCACAGGAGGAAACTGAGTTCTGATTCCCTTTTCAGGAACGCACCTGAGGGTGTGCAGAACTAGGCTGAGTCCTCATTTTCTGATGAAACTTTCCCATGCCGCCTACACCCCCCCCCCCTGGCCTTTGCATCCTAGTCAGCGCTTCGCTAATCCCACACGTGGATTAGCCCAGCCGTGAGCCACTGACGTCACTCGGCTTGGGGGGCAAACCCCAGGGAGCCCTTACCGGGTTAGCTTCAGCAGGGCGATGTCAGCTCGGGTGGGCTCCAAGAACAGATTCTTCACTTCTATTTGCTGGACATCTGACCCTCGAATATCCTCTTCGTGAGCACCCAGGACAACCTTGTAGAACGCGGGTCTTGAAGATCTAGAAGGGAGGATGACATCGGGAGCAAAGCATAGTCCAGGCCTCCTGCTGGCGCCTGCCTGTGTCACACACTCCTCAAGACCTATCAGCACGTGCAGCCACCAGAACCTGTGACTCCCCGATTTGTTGGAACCCGATGTCCTTGACCTCGACAGGACCAGCGCCTGCCACTGAACAGATCTGTTTCTCTGGGTTCATGCCCTGCTCTGGGTCCTTTACGATCTTCCTTAGAACTGTTTCCCTCCTGGGGGGCCGTCCTGGTGGCTGCTGTGGACTTCCGCACACTTACTCCTGGGTCACTACCAGGGAAGGCAGGCAGGCGGGACGGGAGGAGGGGAGGCAGGGAGGAGAGGAGGGGGCCAGTCTTTAGAAGGAGACCTCATGCCAGTTACCCATGGGACGTACTTCTCCAAGCAGTGCGCAGCAGTCAGGACCCACTCCGGGGATATTAAAGTCCCTCCGCAGAAGTGCTGTCCACCAAATCTAGGGGTGGGGGGAAGCAAGAACTTCCATTTAGGCCAGATGTCTTGTTTCATTCAGTTGCACAAAAAAAATCTGAAAGACAAGATCATTCCCAGCAGAAAGGACTGCCAGCCCATGTGCAGAATGGCAGGGATTTGGGAAAGTCCTGGGTGCCACCTGTCCCCATGGAGCAGAGGCAGTGGCTCCAGTGTAAAGAATTGTGCCTGCACTTAAACCTATTAGCACAGCCGGGCGCCGGTGGCACATGTCTTTAATCCCAGCACTCGGGAGGCAGAGGCAGGCAGATCTCTGTGAGTTCGAGGCCAGCCTGGTCTACAGAGCAAGTTCCAGGACAGGCTCCAAAGCAATACAGAGAAACCCTGTCTTGGGGAAAAAAAAGCTATTAGCTCTGGACCGGAACATAAACCACCAGTCAAAACCTGCCCTGGAGGCTGCCTTTCTTTCTCATTAGCTATGGCTTTACAAAAAGCCTTCATGACTCATACTCCGAGGAGCAGAATGTGACCCCAAGAGTAATAAATCAGGATAACGAGATCACCAACTCCCAAGCAGGGTGTAATGGCTAGAATGCAAATAGCTTAGTGTGTACGATCAAACAAACACAACACAAAACACAAACAAACAAAATAGCTCTGTGGCTGGAGAGATGGCTCCGCGTTCAGAACATTGGCTGTTCTTTCAGAGGATCCAAGTGTGGCTCCCAGCACTCATGCGGTGGCTCACAGACATCTGTACGTCCAGTTCCGTGGGATCTGCTGCCCTCTTCTGCAGCAGAAGAGGGTCTCCAAGGGCACCAGGCACACATGGGATACATTCTTACAAGCAGGCAAACGCTCATTTAAATAAAATAAAAATAAATCTTTAAAAAAAAGCACTCAGTAACAGGCAGAGTGCAGCCAGCTGTGCCCACATCTGTCGGTGGCATTCAGCAAGCTCACAGAGGGGACTGTGGATAGCAACTGGGCAGGCGCAGAGGTACGGCAGTGAGCCAGGTGAGCCAAGGCGCCTGTGATGAGCCCGCTGTACACGTCTGCTTTGGAAGCCATGCCCGGGAAAAGGGAATTAAGGATTACAGATGTTTTCCCCCACATGCAGCCCTGCTTCCACAGGCTCAGACACTCTGCTCTTAAACCAGGGCAGCCACAAGCTGGCTTGCTTATATATTTGCGAGTGCATAGGCAGCCTCTATGTTAAATTCAAGGGGGTCACCAAAAAAAGGCACACACTATTGTCAAATAGCTGCACCTCTGACAGGCAAGCACGTTTGTGAGCCCCACCTGCGCTACAGTGTTACATTTGTGAAGACATTCCTTTCATTTTACAACGGCCAGTGGGTATATGAACCCTGGAAGCACCTTCCGTGTTCTCCGGGAATGCCATCATTTCACATAGCTTACCGTATTCACCTAACTTAATGGAGCAACCCAGAGCCTTTTTTGTTTGTTTGTTTTTCTTAAATACCATTCTTGGTCATTTTCAAAGTAGGGAGCCCAAGAAGACAGCTTTTAAAGCTTCGTGTAGCTGTATTTACTCCCTGGGAGGACATAGAGGAAGGCTGTGAAACTGGGCAGCGTTGGTTTAGCATGGCAGCTCTGCCAGGCTCGCATGGATGGGCGGGAAGCATCTCTGCAGGTTCTTACCTTGTTCTGAGACTGACTTGCCAGGGCCAGGAGTGTGCATTGGCCACACAGCCACCCACCACCCTCCCGGGGCATTTCTTCGGCTCCACCTGGGGCTTCCCACATTCATATGACGACGATACTGTGGAATGACGTGAGAGGGGAGGGTCACACGGAGGCAAGCGGACTAGTTCTGACAAACAGTCCTGATGAGTTCATGGCCCAGTGGCCAGGTGCGGAGTTTGTGACATTCCCAGAGTCATAAGCAACCTTCGGAACAGTTCCCCTGAGTTTCAAAACCCATGGCAGACAGCATGGACTCCTGTCCTCTGCAGGGGACCTAAACTCTAATTATTTAATTAAATTGGTGTAGCATGGAATAAAATGAGAGTGTTTCTTTATGGACTTTGATTGACAAACATAGCTATCTATAATTTACTCGCTATGTTGCATTTGGAACACCAAGATTTGCTTGTCAACATCATCTATGCGGCATGCCCAGCCTGCAACCTGCATCCCACAAGAACCTCAGAACGGCTCCAGATGTGGCCCAACACATCTGTAGATATCAGCATCCTGTTGCAATGTCAAAATTCCTGAACTATGGTAGGTTTCCTGAAGGCCATAGCTCCCATCCTCATTGAAAGGCAGTACGTTTTTTTTTTTTAACTTGTGAATTTCTGTGGGTTGTATGTCTCTATCTGTGTCTGTATGTGTAGACAAGTCCCTTTTCCTCAGCTCGATTTTCCCTTCTCTCTGCTGGTCTCAGCACAGACCTGACCCCCCCCCCCCCTTACCCACCCCACCCTGCACACTTCCCCAAACAGCCTTCTACGATTAACCACCAACAGTCAACCCACGCGCCCACCTGCGTTTCCTCTGTTTGCCTCCCATGCGCGCTCCCTCTCCTCCACCAGCCTGCCAGTTAACTGGAGACCAGGGTCTGCATCCCATCTTTGGTAACTCCCACTGCCCGGGATGCAAGGGATATTCACAAACATTTCTTTGTCACCTGCAGCCCCAAAGCCTTTGGAAAGGTCACTGTTAGCATTGTCCATAACATTCCCCAGAAGAAATTCCCTCGATCTTAGTCAACCAGAGAGTCCACACTCTGGAGTGGTGGGACTGAATTTTCCACTCTCTGCTTTCCATGACCTGTCCTGAGAATCTGTGTAGAGAAGGCTTTTCCAAAGTTGCTGTGCTGTTATAGTAGGTACCCTTGCTAAAACTCGGCTCGGCGACTGCCACTGTGCCTTGTCCTTCCCACATGTGTGCCCACTAGTTAGTGTTCGCCGTCTTGACACAAACTACAGTCACCTGGAAGAGGGAATCTCAGCTGAGCAATTGCCTCCATCAGCTAAGCCTTTGGGCAAGTCTGTGGGGGCATTTTCTTGATTCATGATTGATGAGGGAGGGCTCAGCCCACTGTGGGTGGTGTCATCCTCTGGGCAGGCGGTCCTGCGCGGTACAAGAAGGCTGAGCCAGTCTCCGGGAGCAAGCCAGTAAACGGTGCTCCCCCAACGGCTTTGCTTCCGTTCCCGTCTCCAGGTTCCTGCCTTGAGCTCCTGCATGGCTTCCCTCAGGGATGGGCTGTGATAGGAAAGGGTAAGCCAAACGAATCCTTTTCTCTCCCAGGTGCGTTGGGTCATAGTGTTTTATCTCAACAACAGAGAAACTAACAGACGTAGCTACCATTGAGTGGGCTGTCGATGTGGCAGACCTGAGCACGTCGTTTTGGGGAGGACTGTGGAAGGTGGAAGGATTTTGGAGATTTGTGCAGGAGCTGAAGGGACTTCTCTGTGGGAGCTTAGAAGACGAGAATGTTGAGAAAACTGAAGGCCTGGCCTGTGACATTTCAGTCGGGCGTTTGAGACTCCCTCAAAGACGCTACTGACCCTGTGTATGTGATATTAGGGATTAGGAATCTATGAAGTGAAACCTTTGCTTTGCTGGGATAATCGATGCCGGTCACCTGGGGTTGAATGATCAGCTGTGGTTAAGAGACCAGCATCACTGAGGTAGAGCCTCCTGGAAAGGGTGGGGGTGGGGTGAAACTGTCCATTGAGCTGGCAACAGAAAGTAGCCAATTGTGTTTAAACATCTCATCTCCCATGTGGTACTGATTTTGAAAGCATGGAGCAATTATGGAGGGCAGCTGGGGCTTGGCACCATGGGTGTGGCTTTGAATACCAAGGCTCGACTCTTGACTCATGCTGAGAAAGACCCTCTGGTATCCTAGGCTGCTCCAGAGGGGATCAGAGGTGAATCTGTGAAACCAGGACACAAAACCCAAGGTTTGGATGGCAGGCCAGGCACCTCTTAGGGGCAGCCTGTGCAGGGTCAGGAAAGACAGTGGGGGAGGGGCGTGCAAAGACTAGAAACTGAGAGCAGAGATTGAGAGACACTGAGACCTTAGGAACTTCCAGGTAAAGAGGCCACCCAGACATTTTCTTCTAAGCATACAGAAGCCCTGACAGGAGAGAAAAGCTACTGTCCACTTCCCTAACTCTGGAGGCCTCAGCATTATCTTCCAGTAACACTGGCAAGCAGGACCCGGCCGTCACCTTCCCTCTCCAGCCACTCCCTGTTCCACCCAGAGTCACCCGCGTGCTCCCAACCGCTACCCCCCAAATACCTGGGAGGCAGGCCCCAGAAGAGCTTTGCAAGCTAAGCCCCTCCCTCCAGTGCCAGCCACCCCTCCCCCAGGCTAGCCCACTGGGGGAGAGAGGAGTCCACGGTGACAGGCTCTGCCTGCCAAGTTGGTGAGCACAGAGCAGAGGCAGCCTCGCCTGCAGACACAGCCAGCCCTCGGCCACCCCAATCTCAAGAACTGATGCCAACTCCCCGTTCCCCAGGCCCCAGCCTCTCCCTCCCCCAGAGAGTCTCAAATCCCCAAGAATGGAACCCAACATGCCATCTCTAAGTTAGGAGGTTAACGACTAGGGCATCAATCTTGGGGTGGGGGTGGGGGATCTGGAGTGAACAGGAAGATATGCATTCTTTTTCATGAAAAATGAGGAGAAGGTTTTGTACACTTCGTGCGCGGTGTGTGTGTGTGTGTGTGTGTGTGTGTGTGTGTGTGTGCGCGCGCGCGCGCCCCGCGCTCGCGCCCCCATTTCTGATGCTGAAGAAGAAAGTATCTGCGGTGCTTTACATGGGAAATGTCCCTCAAGAACTCATGGATGTAAACACCTGGTCCCCCAAGTGGTGAAGTTGTTCGGAGAGGTCCGGGAACTTTTGAGATGTGGAGTCTTGCTGGAGGAAGAACCTCACTAGGGACGGCCTTGGGAGCCCATTACCCCAGCACACCTCCAGTTCACTCTCTGCTTGCTTGGGTGCATACGGTTCATGCCGTCGCTAAGCCATCATACTGCAGTCTCTCACACTGTGGGTGTCTAGCTCCCTGGAGCAGTAAGTCCTAAGTGTTTCCTTAAGCTGCTACCCGTCATGGTATTTTATCACAGTAGCAACCGAACAGCTAGTGTGCGTCCTGTTCCAGCGCCTCTGAACGTGTTCTGTGTGTTTATCCAGTCAGCTGTGGAAGAGCTCGCCTCCTGGAGCTGATAGTTGGTTCCCATCTACCCTCCGAGGATTTAGTATTAAGTTGATATGGGGCAAGGACAGTAATAGGCCAGGTTCCTGGTGCTCATATGAAAGAGGACTCAGGTGAGAGGCCGCCATTTCGACCTCAGGCACCTGGCGTGAGGCCTGTCTGTGGTGGTTTATTTTGTGTAAGTCCTCATGAAGAAAATGGTCAACCTGTGTATTGGAGAGTAGTTTTCTTACCCCCCCCCAAAAAAAAAGGAAAGAAGGAAAGCGATAGAAACTTACCACACATTGGGACGTCACAGTAATCATAAAGCTTTCTGGGGTTCATTGTATAGCACCAAGGACCATTTACATCGCCATCTGGGTTTCTGCAGTACTGAAAAGAGACAGGCGTTTTGAGAGGAGTCCTCCCTGGGGCAGAGGGAGATCCAGATATAGAGACATAAAGATTTATGCAGGATGGAAAGGGAGGGAGTGTCCCTTTGCTTCCGTCTCTTCTTGCTCTTTGATAATGTTTGTTCAGGGTATATCTAAAGCCTCAGCCTCAGATTGTCCCTGGTCACATCTCTGCTCAAACCAAGTTCCAGCTAGGAAGCCACTCCATGGCCCAGATGTGAGAGAGCCAGCCATCAAGGACATTACAGGATGTCTTGCTGCTGGTTACCTTCAGTGATCCTGTGCCCCAGGAAGCCTTGTTGTTGATTAAAAATATTTGCACCCTCCATGGGTCAAGGCAGAAGAGCAATGTTTTTCTCTGATAGTGCAATACAGTAAATACAAACATGGTCTCTGCTTCACAGTTTCAGACTCCTATGACCTACGCCGTATACAGAGGAACATCAGACACAGCTACTAAAGCCTCTGTGATGTCCTTGACTGACAGGAGCATCTTTTGCTCTAATGAAGTGACCCAGAGAGCATTAGAGGAGCCTGGAATGTGGGGGTGGAGGGTATTCAGCAAACCTGCTGTAAGGAAAGCATTAAGACCCCTGACAAAGGTCAATACTATGATCAACCGTGTCAACATAACAAAGCTTCCGGAAAAAAAAACAAAACAAAAGGGCACGTGTTCAAAGAGATTCCCCGGAGTTACGGGTGCTGGAGAGTGATGCCTAGAGAAGTCAGGACTCCTCCTCTCTCCACACCCCTCCTCATGCAGTGCCTACCACACCCCTTTGCAGTAGTTATCCCAGGAGCCATGAGATACTGCCTGTTCCCAGACCCTACCCAAAGGGAGTCAAACTGTAGGACCCCCAGCTTGGCCTCCGCTTTGTCTCCCCCCCCCAACCTACTCCGAATTTCCCCTCCCTCCCTTTTCCCTCAGCACCAAAGATAAGCCCTGGCCAGTGTGTGTAACACCAAACTGAATCTGTTCAAAAGTTGGTCCAGAGAACGCAGAACAGAACTCGAACCAGGGTGGCTTACGTTCTTTTCCAGACCTGCCCGGGGGTTTGTCTGTGGGGTGAAGATGCTGTGTCTGTGGGGCTCCTGGGCAGCCCATTCCTGGCAGGTAGTGCCAGCTGCGGTGACGGCCACTTTGCCCCGATAGTCTTTACCGTTCCCAGACATGCAGTCTGTAGGAAGAAGGAGATTATGTGTCCCTGGGTAGTCCAAGTATGATACGGCATGAATGTGTTAGTGTTGGCTTGCTCTAATACAGTGGTTCTTAACCTTCCTAATGCTGCGGCCCTTTAGTTCCTTGTGATATGGTGATATTTTCATTGGTACTGCATAACTCACTTTACTACAGTTCTGAATTGTAATATAAATATCTGTGTTTCCTGATGGTCTTAGGTGACCCTGTGAAAGGGTCATTAGACACTATAGGGGTCTGGACCCACAGATTGAGAACCACGGCTCTAATATGTTCGGTTGCTCTCTGGTGACAGACCCAGTGTCTCAGCAAACACTGACTTGCTACTTAGTTTAAGAAGTTGCCAGAAATGTTTGCAGGCCTACACTTGGAAACTATCTCAATATTGGTGGGTTGTTTTAGAAGGGGAGTTCAAGCTAGAGCATAGGAAAACCCAGTTTTACAACAGTGTGACTGGTTACAACACCTGGATGGCTCAGAGGGTGCCTTAGGAAATTGCCCGCCCACCTTCTGCCAAACCCGCCCCAAGATGGCTGAGGCTCATTCCACATAGCAGACCCTCAGCACACACTGGTGTCCCACACAGTGTAGGAGTGCCCAGATCCATAACACTTCCTCCCTGTGTTCAGTGTCTGTATCTGCCCACAGATGTCTGGCCACTAGCTCCTTACCTGGCTCAGAGGTAGTTTGCTCATTTGGAACTTGGGGGACTGTGGGTGACTCTGCACCGCTCCCTCCTGTCTCAGAGCATCTCCTCAGATTGCAGTATTCCCACCTGACACTGGGGTCAGTGGTGAAGCACCAAGGGCCCTTGTCACCATCTGGGTTCCTGCAGTAGTTCATTTCCAAGCCACTGCAAATCCAAGACAGCGTGGTCAGTGGTGGTGGAGGAATGCAGCTCCCTCTCAATTTTGTTACAACAAAGGTGTTAGCGAGGTACCTTTGAAACATCCCACTGAAGATACTAACATGCATACTCACAAATGGACCTCTTAAACAAACCGAGACAATGTAAATATAATGTATTTATAGTATATTTACATTGTATTGATGTAAAATATATTATACCGTATAATATGTAGTAAAATGCACAATATATTTACATTGTATAAAAGTAAAAGCAGGTATCATAGTATTCTCCTTTGACACTCTGCTAAATACTTTTACACAATGTAGCTCTTGAAATGTTACCTTTAGATTTTAAAAAACAAGCACAAATATATCAATGCCTTGCTTTGTTTGGGGTTTGGGTTGGGGGCATTGTTTTTATACATGGCATTTGTTACTCTCGGACCATTCTGGAAGAAGATGCCGCTTATGCATTGAGCTGCTTTGCCACCTGCACTGGAGAATCTTTAATCCATATGAGCCAGAATTTCTTCTGGACTGTCCCTGTTTCCTTTGTCTGTGTCCCTTCCTGCCGACACCATGACACTAGCGTGTCTTGATCACTGGGCTTCTGTGGACTTCAGTGTCAACCCTCCAGAACCCTTCATTCAAACATTACCTTGATGGTTCTGAGACATTTGCTTTTAAATGTTGCCACTTTCTCCAGAAACAACTGCTAGAATTTGTGGGCTGGACCCAAAACCTAACTTGGTAAGGGGCTCATATATCTTTAATCTTTTGATCCATACACAGAATCTCTATTTAGCTTTTAGTGTTCTCCTTAACAATGTTTAAACTATACAGTATGTGGTTCTTAAGCATGCCGTATTAAAAACTTTCACTAAGTACTTTGTGATTTTTATATGATTGCTGTTGGTGTTAAAATTCCATTGTTCAGTTAAGTGTAGCTAGTATAGACATACAATGGCTCGTCTGCGGGCCTCGTGTAGACCTGCTGCTCTTTGGACATGCAGATTCACTCAGACATTAGGGCTGTCTGTATCCATGAGTCAGTCCTGTGCCTTGTGAGTAAAGATGGCTGTGCTTCATTTCAAAGCTTGAGGGCCTTCCTCCTTCTGTCCTTTGGTCTTTGCCCCCTCCCTCCTTCCCTCTGTTCTCTCCTCCTGTCATGCCCTTTCTTCCTTCTCCCTTTCCTCTTCCCTCCCATCCTCTGCCCCTGCCTTTCTCCCTCCATCTTCCCTTCCTTTCTCCCTCCATCTTTCCTTCCTTTCTCCTCCATCTTCCCTTCCTTTCTCCTCCCTCTTTCCTTCCTTTCTCCCTCCCTTCCTAACTTGCTTTTTTCCTTCATTCCCTCTGCCCCCTCTTCCTCTGATCCTTCTTTTTCTCCACCCTCCCCTCCCCCTCCCTTCCTAACTTGCTTTCTCCCTCTTTCCTCCCTCTCTCCTTCCATCCATCCATCTGTCCCTTCCTTCCTTCTCTCTGTCCCTCTGTCCCTCCCTTTGTCTCCCTCATTCTCCTCCTCCCTTCCTGACCCACTTGCTTTCTTCCATTGCCATACTGCAGTGGCTACCAACACTGGTACCCTCTGGCAGCTCACATCCCCTCAGAGCACTGTGCTCCTGGCCTGGCGAGAGTACTGAAAGACTTGGAGCTACAGATGCAGCTGGAAACATCAGCCTGGAAGCCAAGCACAAAAGCAAACCCAGACACCACCCCAGGGCTTTACACTGGAGTGACTATCCCAATGCTGGGAGACAGCGGCATGATCGTCAGCACAGGCTGGGTAACAGTACCATTTCTAAGCTTTGTGGTAATTTGTTCTCACAAGGTTTCCACCAATGGGACCTTACCACCCCTTGCTTCCACAAAATGTCTCAGGAAAGGGGGCCAGTTGAAGGCTTCTCTTCTCTTGGGCCCTTTTTGTGAAAGCCAAGTTCCTGATATAGTCTGCCCCGTGTGCTGATCTCAGAGAAATCTAGTCCAAAGGAGTTAGCTTAAAGCACGGGTAACTGAAGGGACCTAAGCCAGCTACTGATCCTCTCATGGTTAAAATCAAAGACATACGCATTTGGGAACTTCTCTGGGGTCTTCTGATGCTGGTGAGGAGTCATGGAGGTCCAGGACTGGCACTTTTTCCCTGTGATGGTGGTGGACGATTTGCCCCGATAGCTCTGCCCATTGCCTTGGTAGCATTCCTGGACCACGGGTGTTTGCTCTGGTAGAACTAAAACCAAAGCAGAAGGAATGAGGACAAATAAGATCTGGAGCAGACAGACCTGGGCACTAGTTGACGACACACACAGAAAGCAGCGGAGGAATTCTCACTGCTCCTTCTCCACAAGAGCAGGTGGAGAAACATTAGACCTGCAATGCACACACACGTGAGATTCATAGTGTTGTGGAGCATCCTGTAAGAACAAAATTAAAACCCTAGAAAGAGGAACAAAATGGGTCAGGTACTGCTAACTGGAAATGTCATTGCGTACAAGTTACTTTTACGAGTTACTACCAGGTGTTCATGAGAACAATAGGGCAGGATGCTCCGTGATGAGGGCAGCGGGTGGGACTGGGCAGAGGACAGACCCGAAATGCTTGCCTACTTCCCTAGACCCTCTTTTTGATCACAGGACACCAAAGCCTTGAGCCTCTAGAGATGGGGAAGAAGCCGTTGCTTCTCAGAGATGACCACAATGGGACACTATCAGGCTGGGATTGTGAAATTGCCTCGGTCAGTTGTTAATGGATGAAGATGGTGAAGATGGATAAAAGGAGGATGTCAGCAGAGGTAGAAACTTCTAAAAACAGCAACAAAATAGAAATTCAAGCAGCAAAACCCACAGCATCAGAGGTGAAGAATCCCTTCAATGGCCTGATCTACAGGCCACACAGCTAAGGGAATAACAAATGAACCAAAATAACCAAAATGTATTGGGTAATTGCGTTCCCTGAGAAAGGATGAATGGTAGCAATGAGACGGGACAAAGTAACTACCTTAACAGTGGGCTTAAAGCCAAGCACAAACAATGACATGAATGCAAACATCTCAGAAGGCGAATAAACACTAGCAAAGGCAAAGGCCTCACCATCAGTAAGATAAAATCAGAACGAGGAATATTTCTAGAAACAAGGGGAAACATTCCATCGGGAAGATAAAGACAACTTCAATGTGTGTGTGTCCTTCCCAATACAGAAGGCTGTCAGCGACAAAAGAAATAGAGACGAAGCCATTCTTAAAGTTGGACCTGTAAGCAAGTCAACAGGAATATACAGAACCCTAAAACGATGTGCTCGTGTTGACTTTTAGAAGAAACATTGTAAGCACAAAAGAAAGTCTCAATTTCAAGAGCTCGGGAAACACTCACCAAGACTGTACCCTGAGCCGCTAGGCAAACAACAAATTGGAAGCACTGTAATTGAAATCATGCAAGCATCTCTCTGACCTACAGTGAGACTAAGTGAAGCAAAGGTACTACACATGGATACGCTGTGAAGACGTCACTAGAGCACAAACATGGACAGGGAAGTTGGGCTCTCTGAGCTCTCATGGTCCACTCATACCTGAGGCATCAGAAAGTTCTGGCGATGAGTCACAGGACGGGATCTCACAGTATTCCCACCTCACTTCTCCGTCGGTGGTGTAGCACCACGGAGCAGTTTCTCCATCCGGGTTCCGACAGTAGTTTTCTTCCAGATTTCTAGAATAGAAACATGAGTTTCGCTCGTCAAAGAGTTTGATAAGCAAGGTGTGGGGCTGGAGAGATGGCTCAGCCGTTAAAGGCTAGGCTCACAACCAAAAATATAGGCAAGGTGTGTACATGCTCGGTAGAGGGAGCGCTGTGCACATCTAATACGCTAGAATCTCATACACTGAATGGCTGGCAGGTACCAGAACAAAGCTGAAGTCGAGCTTAGGCATCACATAGCATGTCACGGACTCTGGCCCAGAAGAATTGATAGCTAAAATCTATTCCTTGTCTTCGTGTGATGGGATAGGTCTTTAGTTCTGTGTTGGGCACCGTGTTGTATGCTCAAGTAATGAGGACTTTCCACACAGTCCTTAGAGTCTCAAACTTACTCTAGAGTAGAGCCCAAGACTTTGCATTTTTGGTAAATTCTTGATGGTATTGGTGGGGCACACTTTGAGAAAGACTTGTAAGATGAAAAGCATTGCTAAATGTCACTTTCCTTGCTTGTGACGACCTGATCAGTCTACTCTTGGATTCTTTATAGTACAACCAAGGTGGAATCAATGGACTTCACGAGCCACAGTAACAGGGTGGGGGAAGAGGTGGAGGGACATACTTGCAGGGGAAGTTTTCTGGTGTCCTGTTGTGCTCATGAGGGCTCTGCTCACTCCAGCGCTGACAGGTTTTCCCGGACACAGTGACAGACACGGTCCCTCGGTAGTTCTCACCTCGTCCCTTCAGACATTGGTAGGTTGGACCAGAAGGGGGTGGGGGTGTTGCTTGAATAGGGGAAAGAATTGATCATGAATGATTTTTCTATGAAGAATGCACCAACAGATGTTACAGGAGGGTGGAGGCAAGATCGTCTGCCACGCCCTCTTACTCCTCTCTTGGGAATAGCTTTGTGTTTTCAGTTTGGTAGAATCTGTATATATAAGACCATTTCTTCAGGAACTGCTCTATAAGTGGACCCTTGGGTTAGATGCTTCTCTCTCTAGTCTTTTGTGTTCTTCAGGCATGGCAAGAACTCATGTAAGTCCTCTCCTACCCCAAGCCCTTAACACGCACCAGTGGCCCAGGCCCTTTTATAAAGAATATGTGACTCACTGGGTAAACACAACTGAGAGCACCCATCTCCCATAAAGGCACACAACTGGAAAAGAGCCAAGGGAAAGGGTAAATGTCTTTGATACATATACATCTTAACAATAGAGCTTCAAGGGTACAGAAAGGCAGGCAAATAGAAGCTAGATATGTAACCACCCATCAATGACCAATAAAATAAAAGTACAGAAACAACACTAACTCAATATCTTTAAGGAAAAGTGTACGAGGAGACAAAGATTACAAGAAAAAAAGAGACTGGTGTAAGGAAGAAGATGCCTAAGGATCTCTGCTTGTCAATGATGGCCACGCAAAGGAGAGAGGCTGCCTACACGTCTTCTCTAGCATTTGTCCATGGTCTTTCTACCGTCTCAGACTCTCTATTCCAGTTACTCAAGAAGGAACAGTGCGAAATAGCTTCTTCCCATGTGTGTCACTTTGATGAGCTCTACTTCTCCTGAGCACCCCCAAGTTAGACACCTGAAGCATCTAGGTACTCATAGACATCTGTGTTGACAAAGCAGCAGTCAGAAAAAACTCTGACCGGCCATGAAGATCATGAAACAGCAATGCTGGTGAGTGCCCTTCAGCTCAGGGAAGATGGGAATGGCAGAGCTACCACCCTGAATTTGAGTGTATTTTTGAAGAAGGGTGCTGACCAACTGATTACATGTGGCCTGTTTGTCTCTTGTTTTTGCCTCTTTGACTCTTTCTTCCTGGGTCACTTGGCTCTGTAGTCACCTTGGATTTGAGTAATGACTGGACTGATGAATAAACAGCTGTGTGTGTGTGTGTATGAGTAAACAGCTGTATGTATGTGTGTGTGAATAAACATCTGTGTGTGGGGGTGCATGTGTGTGTACATGTTCCCATGCATGCATGTGGAGACCAGAGGACATTTTCACTTTTCTTGAACAGGATCTTTTACCTAGAAGGACCAAGTAGGCTAGAATGGCCAGCTGGCCAATGAGACCCAGGGATCAGCGTGTCTACTTCTGCCTCTGCCTCCCCAGGACTAGGGTTACAAACGACCAGCACCATGTTCAGTTGCTGCTGCTGCTGCTGTTTTAATGTGGGTCCTAGAGCCTGAACTCAGGATAGTCTTGTGGGGCAAGTGCTTTACCTACAGAACTATCTCATCAGCCTCTGGATCATGACAAGAGTGAAACTAGCCCTAGAAAATGAACCTCTCGGGACAGATCATCACTAGGTGAGGGCAGATACCCATGATGGTGAGGTTGCATCACAGAGAACCATCATCTCCTAGGAGCCAGGCCACTCCTCACAAGTGGAGATGATAATAACAGCTTCTCCAGCGTAAGCATAGCTGAGATATTAATCAGCAGCCCACCCATAACCAAGACCATCAGCTGTGTGAACCCCAAGCCCTTCCATCGCTTCTCCCTTTCTAGAAAGTTCCAGGGCTTCTGCCCACCCCTCACAGATGAACTTGGCATCACTGGACCCCTTAATCTGCACTTCTCAGTGTGGCCACGTGGATTACACCTTCTTCTGCTTATGTGTCCTTCACCACGCCTGCGACTTTGACGGACAAAGTGGGTATCAAGTCCAGTCTGTTAGGGGCCCCTAGAGCTGGAGTTTTGTCTTAAAACTGATAATACTCACAAAAGGCAGAAGTCTGACTGAGGAAAAAGATCAACAATGGTTCCTGCCATTGCCTTCCAAAGGCAATGGCATATTTAAGCTATACGGAGTGAGAGATGCAGAAACTCAGCGATGTCGCCTTCCACAGGGACGGCCGTGGCTTAGCCACATTACCTTGAGTCTTAGAATCCTTATTAAGGAACTGAGTTCATCACAAAGGGAGGGGGGAGAGCATAGCATCCGTGGAGAGTTTCCTGTGCAAGGTGTGAGCTTGAATCCTCCTATCAGCTACCTAAATAGCTAATACATTTGACAAGAACACCCTGCAGACCTGTACTCAGCACCAACATGTTTCCAAAAAGCGGTGGAGAGGGTGCTCTCAGTGTATCGGGTATGAGCTACACTTACTGCAGCGGGGGATGTCACAGTATTCCCAGCGTTTGTTGGGGTCTTGGGTGAAGCACCAGGGGCGAGGCTCTCCATCAGGGTTGCGACAATAATTCATCTTCAGGTTCTTGTTTGGAAATCTGGGTGGACAAGAAGAAACTCTTAATAGTAATAGCGAACGTTTATGCATGAATGAACTAACATTTAGCACCTGCAATTAGAGGAGTGTGGTCCTCTACTGGCAATCCAGAAGAATGATAGGCTCAGTCTTCCATGGGCTGTATTCCTAGAAATTTCCATGTGCCCTGGCTCACAGAAGAGGGCAAGAAACTGTACCTTTCTAACCATCCAGAATTTTAAAGTAAGCAAACTCTGGTTATCTAGCTACAAACAATAGCAATCTTCAAAGAATAAAGTGTTTACTTTCTGAAGACAGCAACATGGTACAGCCTGGAAGTTGATGCCTGGTCCTACTGGTCTACCAGGCTCCCACCCCACTACAGGAAGCTTAGAGAATCCTGCAAGCACCTGGCCAGTGAGACCTCCTTCGCTGGGAGATTGTCCCTGTTCCTGATTCCTCTCTGAGACTGAGTGCTTAGGACAGAGAAAAGTGAGCAACGGCCAATTTATTCCCCCTCTTCCGGTTTCCTACAGGTGATTTGGCCTAGTCACACTTTGAGAACACCACTGTGATTGCCTTTGGAAGGCAATGGCAGGAACCATATTTAAGCTATACGGAGAGAGAGATGCAAAAACTCAGCAATGTCTTCTTCCACAGGGACGGCCATGGCTTAGCCACATTACCTTGAGTCTTAGAATCCTTACTAAGGAACTAGGGTCATCACAAAGGGAGGGGCATAGCATCCGTGGAGAGAGAGTTTCCTGTGCAAAGTGTGAGCTTGAATCCTCACAAACGGCTTGTTCACAAAACCATCACTGCTTTCTAGAGCAGGGACTCCCCTCCTCCTGCCCCGGTACTGTTCTTAAATTCACAGTCACCTTTGAGAACTCAGAAGTTGTGAATGACCCAGGATAAACATGCATAAAACATAGGGATTTGCAAGACCCTTGATAGTCATTCACCCGTAGCTCAGCCAGAAAGTGTACACTATAACTCGTGTTAAACACGAAAGGAAGGGAGCGAAAGGGGCGCACACAAACGAGTATGTCTCGCAGTTTTAACAGAAACACAAATTGGCTGTGAATTTGGTTATAGCCCAAGTTCTATTCACAGGGCCTGGGATGCTGCATCTCTAACAAGCACCCATGATGCCCCTGGCCCATGTGATAGGTAGCAAGAACATACACTTCATATGCAGCCTATGGGGGAGGGGTGCCAGCTTTGGAACTCGGAGCCTTCAATTCCCGAAACAAGCAGACACGTCTGAAGACCAGGGCATGTCTAAGGAGCCCCGGCCATGGCTGCAAGACTTACTTGGCAGGAATATATCCGTGAGCGTGTGGGCTCTGCGAGTCCCAGGGCTGGCAGTCAAGTCCAGACATGGTCTTGGAGATTTTCCCCTCGTACTTTTCTCCACTGCAGTGCATGCATTCTTCTGTGTGGTGTGAGGAGGGAGAGAAGGGAGAAAGGAAGAGACTGAGATGCAGCCCGGTGGAGCGAGCGTAGACGGGAATCCTCCAGAGAGGCCTCCGGTGTTCCCTGCCAACCGTTTCTACCTGACTTCCGGTAACCACTTGGCAGTAAAAGACTTGGGATGTTCTGATACACTCAACGCCCTGTTCTCTTTCTGAGATGGTATGTTTAGACCATTTGGGTCTGTGCCACCTTAACTGTGGTGACCAAGGTCAACTTCAGAAACTGCCTTATACATCCTTGTACTTGGAGACACACAAGGGAAAGACACATCTCAGAAGCCTGTGTGCTCTCCATCATCCTTTCTGGAATGATCTTTTAAAATTCCATGAATTTATTCTGATGACTTGGTGACCGAAAAATATGCAGGAAACATCTCAGAATTTTTTCTGCTGGCTTTTTTTGTTTGTTTGTTTGTTAGTCCCCAGTGACCTCACTGGAGGATGCCACTCACCTCAACTGTGCAAGCATCTGTGTATCGCTGAGAAACATGACTGATAGGGTGGGCTGAGTGTTGTCATGTTTTTTCCTTTTGCTCTTTACTTAAAGGCTAAGACTTGGACTTGGATCTGTTAAAAATCCCGTGTTGAGGAGGCATAACACATAACTGGAATTTTTATGGGGCCACAAAAAAGCAGGTGTGAGATTGATGTAAAAAGTGTGTGTTCATGGAACTTAAACACCAAATGAACTGTGACCATCCATATCTAAATACAGGAGCCCCTCTGTCCATACAGGTAATGAGAAAAACGAGTTGGCGCCCGAAACATTCCCACGTTGCCTTGTAACCCCAACTTGGCTCTTTTTTCTTGCTCCAATAAACACACCTGGAAATAGGAAATGAAGCCATTTTCCCAGTCTATGTCTTAATGCTTTTAGCGTTGACCTTCGGCGTTCTCTGTGAAACTGATAGACCCACTAGAATGGAAGTCATGCTGACACAAAAACAGGTGTGTTGCCCAACTCCACCCTCAACAACAGAGTGGCCTGCATTAAGTCATTCCTCTCCTGTGCTTGAGTCTCATTGGCTTTGTGGGTTTTTGATGTAGCTATTCCATCCATGTCTGGAGTTCTACACTGTATGTGGGTTTTAACCAAAGAAATTCGTACCCACGATTTGGATCTGGCTGTACACATGAACATGCTGAGGTAGCATCCTAACAAAGATGGTTAAGGTCTGAACTGGGCTCCCATTACTCTATTATGTGATGTAAATCGTAAATCCGGTTTTTTAATGACATCTCTGTGGGAAGTGGCTGGATAGCATATGCCAAGTGACAAGCAGATAGCCACGCCTACCTTCACACTCGGGGATGTCGCAGTAGTCAAATCTCTTGTCTGGGTCTGTCGTGTAGCACCAAGGTCCCTTGTCGTCATTGTCTGGGTTCCTGCAGTAATTCTCCTCCAGTCCCTCGTTGGGGTGTGTAGTGGGGGAGTAGCTGCAGGGAAGGGAATGGGGGGGCTGAGTTCTAACGGCGGTTGGTGTGAGTGAGTCAGGAGATGCTGTGCTCCCTGCCTAGGGGCTCAGTTAAGTCATCTAAGTGTGTTTTAGCCGTTGGCTGCCACATCTCTGTTTCTCTACGGATGGGTTGCTTGGGTCAAACAGCTCGTCTTACCATCATTGCTCTGTGCCCAGCTAACTCTCGGAAGCCTAGCCAAAGCACATGTGCCGAGCAGGCAGTAGGACACCAAGGCCTCAAACGCCTGAGGGATCCTTGCCTCCTTCCAAACCCAGACTTTCTCTGGCTGACCCAGGCGTCCGTGGCAATGACTACTCTTTTCTTGTGTGAACTCTGCCCTTGGCATTCCACTGAAACTTCCTTCTACATTCTGTCACTTGCCCTTAATGAAAAAAACAACCCTACTAAAATGGGGTCATTACCCCCATGTTATGGAGTGCAGTGAAATAGGCAGAACCAGCTGGCATCTAGGCTTGACTAACCAGCAAGGGGCCTGTGAAGACTGTGAAACCCTTCATTGGGTCACACAGCCTGAGTGACTGGGTGCGGGAAAGCTGAGCTCATCTTCCATTCTAGAGAGACTTACTACAAAGATAACTAGATAAAAATTGCAAGAACTTGTGCTCTAAAGAAGCAACTTCGATTTCTGCTTCTTCCGAGTAGCTGTTTGGGGGAACTCCCACCTGAGTAGAAGCTCAGCTGCCTCGTGAGCCTAGACTGTGATTGAAGCCCTTGGAGTCATCACAGAGAACTTAATGCCATCTAATGTTCCACTGGGGGGCACAAACAGAATGGCCCTAAAATAATAAACAAGTCATAAACTATTTGTTTTTCATGTCTTATATCATGGTTGGGTATGTCATGCAAGTTCTAAACTGATATCTGACTGAAACAGACCTATCTCGAAACATCCATCGTTTCCTGATACTCAGCCTCTGTGACAGTTGGTTTAATTGTCAGCTTCACACGAACTAGATTGACCTGAGAAAAGCTCTAGATAACTGTGTGTGTGTGCCTGTGAGAGTGTTGTCTTATTATATTAATTGATGTGGCAAGACCCAGCCCAGTTGGGCGGGATCTCCTGAACTGTATAAGCACAGAGAGGAAACCCAGCAGCAATAAACCTGCATGTGTGTGTTTCTCTGTTCTTGACTGTGGATGTGGCGTGACGTGTGGCTTCCCCATAATGATGGACTATAATCTGTAATTGCCATCTAGAATAAACCCCCTCCCCCCATGAGTTAGCTTTTTGCCACGATTATCTTTATCACGGTAACAGAATGAACACTAGGGCACCCTCGGATTCAGTTGTATGGTTCTTTTAACATGCCTCCTTCTATGTTTGGGGGCTTCTGGGATATTACAGAACAAGACAAACAGAAAGCAACCGCTTTCTGCTTTGGCTCTGTGAACAGTTCCGCTGTCCTGCGTCAAAAGGTTCCCGATCTGCTCACACTCAGTGTTCATGTTTGCTTTGGAAAGGACGGAGTTGCTCTGAATCCACCCATGAGCGCCAGCATGAAAGAGCAGGGCGAGGGAGGTGGGAAGGGCTTACTTGGGTGCATGGGGGGACGTGGCACTCCATCTCTGGCAGGTGACGCCACTCTTCGTCTTGGACATGGTCCCTCTGTAGTTCTTCCCGATGCCAGTCCTACATTCTGACAGATACACTGAAAGAGACCCCACACGGTGGTTCAAAGTCCAAACACACAGCCTCTGCTTGGAGCTGTGCCCCACACAGTCCACCACGGGAAAGACCTCTTACTAAATCATGTCTTCCTACTCTTAAAGATGGACCCTATAAAGGGCTGCTGCAAATGCCGGTAGGCGTTGACCCTGCAATAGTTCTGCCTGTTGCCTTGACATACCTGGGACCTTACATGCCTAGAACTTCTGGGAAGAGTGTTAATTGAGGAATTATCTAGATCAGATTGCCCTGGGGGGTGTGTCTGTGAGAGAATGTATTTTTTAAATTATTTTGTATACATTGGTGTGAGGGTGTCAGATTCCCTGGAACCAGACAGTTGTGAGCTACCGTGTGGGTGCTGGGAATTGAACCCGAGTCCTCTGAAAGAGCAGCCAGGGCTCTTAACCATTAAGCCATCTCTTCAGCCCCATGGGAGGGCTTCTTAACTGAGTTAAATGAGGTGGAAGACCTGCCCTAAATGTGAACAGCACCGTTTCGTGGGTTTGTCCCTGAACTCCGTGAGAGTGAAGAAAGTTGAGCATAAGCAGCGGGAAAGCAAGGATGTGCGTGTTCTATCTGCTCCTGACTGCGGGTGTGATGCAATCAGCGGCATGAGTTCTTGCCTTGACCTTCCTCAGTGATGGACTGTGACCTAGAATTAATTGTGAGTCCAAGTAACCCCTTGGCTGCTCTCGGTTGCCTCTGGTCAGAGGGTTTTATCATAGCATCAGAATGAAATTATAACAGCGACGTTTGTCCAAAAGTTATCTCCTTGGGCCCTCTATGCCTCATCCATGCCCAGGCTGGAACACAGGAGATCACGAAACAGACACAGGCCACTCTCCTGGAGCATAAACCCTAGTGGAGTTGGGATGGTGGCAAAAGGAATTAAGAGAAACAGTTTGAAATGAGCTAATGTCACAGTATCTTGTAATGGAGTATAGTGCTGAGACAGAGTAACAGATAAAGAAGGGTGTTTTCAGGTAGGGAAGATCCAAGAGTCCAACCAGTCTGTGTGCTTCTTTTTTTTTTTTTTGTCTAACTCTCAATATACAAAGAACCAACCAAAGAACCAAACAGGACAAACAAAATGTTTCCAAATCACCAGTGTCCAATGGGTCTCACTCTGTCTCTAAAATACAGCCAGATGCCATTGCGGTTCTCAAGTGACAGATAGGCTCCCTAAGTGGCTCTTTCTAGTGTGTGCCTACTTATGCCCCCCCCCAGGCACCGCTTGTGTGTAATGTCCAATTATCCCATTTTGATGATGCTTTGTTGTAATCAAAGCTGGTACATGGATGTGGAAAGAACAGTGCTCATATTTCATTTAAAAAAAGTTAATTACCTTTTGTTTTGTTTGTTTGTTTGTGACAGGGTTTCTATATGTAGTATTAGGGATAACCTGGAGCTCCTTATGTAGACCAGGCTGGCCTTGAACTCAGAGAGATCCACCTGCCTTTGCCTCCTGAGTGGTGAGACTAAAGGCAGGTGCCTCCGTGACCAGCCAGTTGGGTACTTTTTTATGTGTGTTTGTGTCGTATGTGCACGGTATGTACTTGTTAGAATGAGGTGGGGTTGCACGTGAATATGTGGGTGCACCTGGAAGCCAGAGCTTGACAACAGGTGTCTTGATCTCTCTCAGGCAGATTTTTCTCAGTGGACCTGAAGCTCACTGATTGGGCTAGACTAACTGGTCAATAATTTTAGAGATGGACCTGCCTCTGCCTCCCGGATAGCACCACAGTAACAGGCACACACCACTGCCAGCGTTTTATGCAAGTTCTGGAGATCTGAACTCAGGTACTTAGGCTTGGGCTACAGGCATTTTAGAGCCTGGGCCATCTCCTCGGCCCCACATTGAATACTTTGAAGGATGTGGGCAAGTGGAATCATTTTAAAATTGCTGTCGGATTTCATGAGGACAACACACCCATACAACCGACTACATGAGCTTGAAGGGGAAAGTTATAAACACCTAAAGGTATTGCAGAATCAGTGTGTTGCCAAGACTTCCAAGATCAGGAGACCAACGTTGGAAATGACACTCTGGAGCCCACAGCAGAGAGCCCCCTAGTGGGGACCCAAGGAAAAGGTCTCCATCCTACATCACAAGCCCGCTTGGACTTTCAGTAAAAGCACACAGTAGTGTTTCCAGTGTATTCGTGACGCTCAGATTCCCCACTAAGGCCTAGTTTCTGGTTCATCAACCCAGGAAGTATTTTTAGCAAACAACAGCTTTAACAAGGGGCGCACTGTAGCTTCATTGGTATGCCTCTTAACAGGAGTGGTCCCCACGTATCAAAGGGAAAAACTTGAAGTGTGAGCAAGGGAGGCCCCGGAAACCCTGAAAAACAGACTCTATCACAGCAGGGTGAATAAGCCTTAAAACGGTTCATTCTTTTTCTTCCTTCCTTCCTTCCCTCCTTTCTTTCTTTTTATGGGTTTTTTGAGACAGGGTTTCTCTGTGTAGCTTTGGAGGTTATCCTGGAACTCACTTTGTAGACCAGTGTAGCCTCAAACACACAGATATCCACCTGCCTCTACCTCCCAAGTGCTGGGATTGAAGTGTGCACCACCACCACCCAGAAGTTTATTCTATTTTTTAAAAGAGAAAAATTTTAAAGTTTCCCAACACATAGAAATTATTGTATGTTTGAAGAGATGCAATTGTAACCACTCTGATTAGATCTCTCTCTCTCTCTCTCTCTCTCTCTCTCTCTCTCTCTCTCTCTCTCTCTCTCTCTCTCTCTCTCGTGTGTCTGTCTCTTTCCCTCTCTATCCCTGAATTAACACAATGTACCCTATAAATATGCAAAAATTTTACCAGGAATAGTTTTAAGCTACGAAGGACCATTTCTTAGAGGTCGTGTGTAAAGCCCCAACCAGGGGGCCAGCGACAGCAGAGGCACTAGCTGGCACAATGGTGGCTTGGTTCTAGGGGTGGCAGTGGAGATGGGGCCAAGGCAGCTGGTGTCCTGTCACCCGACACTGATGGATCTTAGCAAAACCCTGGCTGATGCATGAGCGAGCAGTCCAGTTCACCGTAGGGAAGTGAGGACCCCAAGGGGCTGCCTTCTGCCTCTCCTCCTCTCTTGTTTGCCTGTACCCAGCATGGTGGATATAACCTTTTGACCCACTGAAAACAAGCAAAACCAGCCTTCAAACTTCAGACTTCAGCCTTGCAACTCAACCCTCGTGTTACTCCTGGTTAACGATTTACAGGTGTCATATTTAAGTGTCAGCAATTAGTAGAGGGGATCCCACTCCATCCCCTCTTCATAATCTTCTAGGCCATGGAAGGCAAGCCTGTTCATCCTTTCTTTCCTCACTAAGTAAGGGCTCAGTGCTCCGCTTGATGAGGGTTAGGCTTAGTTGACGCTTGGCTCTCAAGAATTAAAGATACACAGAGGTAAGGAAGGGGATACCAGGGACATCTCTCATAACCTGAAAGAAGAGGCTACCGTTGTGGTTTTGTAATGTTCAAAGCACAGGAAGTTAGGCATCTCTCGTCCTCGTCAGCACTCCTCATCCAAAATCTTTAGAGACCTAAACTGTTTTTATCAATGGTCTTATTGACCTAACCCAACCAGAGCATAGGAGAGTAGACTTTTTAAACCACATAAATTAAATAGCCATATACATTTAAAAATACTTGTGCCTTTCTAAAAAGATACTCCATTGGAGTCCTGGCCACCCCAGGCCCTAAGCCAGGGGATTTCTGGTTTGTTGTGAAGAAAACTGGAAAAGAAATCATGAATTTCATGCATCTTCAAATTTTAAGGAAGAGAGGAAAAAATAAAATCCCTGAACAAAGAAGTAGAAAATAAAATAGAAGTGAGAATTGTGCCAGGTTTAGTTCAAAAGTGGGAGCCAAGGGCATGGGCGCCCTACAGGAGTAGAAGCCAAGATCATAAAGAGCATTTAGACTCTGTGTCTCCCCTTCCAAACGAAACCAAGCTTCTTATTCCTCAGGCCACAGGTAGAAATGACTTTGTAAACCCAGTCCTTGGGTGTAAAGAAACAGC